TTATTTAAAAAGGTAGTTATGCAACATACAATACGCGGTTTGACATAATTAGTTGCCTAACAATGATATAACTTGAATAAGATAAAAAACAGTATACGAGGGGATTCCAATTAGTTCAATTTCCTACAAATTTTTAAGACGGCCGTTTAAATCTGACCTATTCAGAATTTTGAGCCGTTACATACAGTGATGCCAGAATATGTTTGTTATATACCAGATTTGTCAAAAAATGTGCCATATTTCAAAAAAATGTAGGTACCAAAAATTTTCTAATTCTCTTTACAGTGATGGTCTGATTCATTAAGGTGCAGAAAAAAGGTCTTATGCTTCGAGAACATATTACTAAAGCCATCGTCCAAATGGACTTTGTTTTGGTAGAGTGGGAAAATAGTGTCCAACATTCCCATTAGTCTGTTTCGTTTTGCTTGGTATGTCAAATCGTTCGAAATTGTCAGAACTGTCATTTGATTTTCATTAATTTCTAGCTTATTTTTGTAGTTTATAAATATTTTTTTGTATTTTATTATTTTACTGATACAAATTAATAGTGTCTAGGCATTTCCCCTCATAACGTAAACAAACCCTATTGAATGCGAACTCTATGAAATACATATGCTCGAAGGTATAAGTATATTTGTTTTAAATATTAATATTTTCCCTTTTAAACGGCATGCCATTGATCTACATTAAAAATATCACTCCTATTGCCCTCTTTCTATAACGGCACGCCATTGATCTATATTAAAAATATGTATACGTCAAAATAATCAAATTATAACTGTAAACTATAGGACTTCAAGTAATAGGCTATTATGTCTTAAGAAGAGAGCAATATCTCAGCTAGTTCATTTTTATAAAAAAAAAACAAGTTTTATAAACCACCATTTTAAAGGAAATCCAATCTCCTATTTACTTTCCTATCTGTATACAGATATAATTACTTTCCTATCTGTATACAGATATAAGGAAAGTATAGGAATCATGATTTTTTTCGACCTCGAGTTTTCGACGGATTTTTACGTTTTGAGGTCCCCTGAATCCGTTTTGACTATTTTCGCGATGATGACTGTGTGTGTATGTGTGTGCGTGTCTGTATGTCGCATAACTCGTGAACCGATACACAGAAAACCACCAAATTTTAAACTTAAGCTTTATTCCAGCGTCTAATGAACTGATTAGATTTTGGACAAAGTCGGAACATCTGGGGGGGTACTTTATGGGAGGCCGTTTTTATATTTTATGGAATATATCTGTTATTTACATTTGGAGAAGAAAATTCTTCAAATAAAAGTTACTTCTAATATAATTATCTATAATTTTTTATACCTTTATAAATTAATAAAGTTGAGGTGGAATTTTATGCACCTTTGCTACCTGTTACCTGTCAAAGCCACCACTACTCAGGTTTCATGGGCGGGGATCATTCTTACCTGTATTGGGGACATACACAGAAGAACTCTCAGCTTTTATAAAATTCCGAAGGTCTGGCTCTCACGGGCTCTTGCTCTATTACGTTTGGAGAAGAAAATTCTTCAAATAAAAGTTACTTCTAATATAATTATCTATAATTTTTGTTCTATACAAAATTTTCCTAAAATGGTCCGTATTCGAGAAATTTGGCAATATGTAAAAAAAAATAATTTTTTATAAAAATTGTTCAAATAAAAGTTGTTTGTGATATAATTCTCTGTAATTTTTATTCTATACATAATTTCTCTAAAATGGACCGTATTCGAGATATTTGAGAAAATGTGTAAATTTCGAATTTTGAAGAAAACTCAAAAACGGATAAAGAAAAATCTGATGTGTCCAACACATGACTTTCCTATCTAGTTATTATAGGCATTTTCCGGTTATTTTGTACAACCTATTGCAGCATCTCTATAAATGTTTAGAGGATATATACATTTTACACATACATATACCTCGAAACATTTTTCTATAGATATTCATTGAAAACGAAAATACAGAAAAATTTAATTTTAGCACTTTTCCATTACGGTCCATTTTAGAAAAATCATGTATAAACAAAAATTATAGAAATCGATATCGCAAACAACTTTTAATTCAACAATTTTCATAAAAATCAGAATTTTGCACATTTTGTCAAATTTCTCGAATACGGACCATTTCAGGAAATTTTGACATAAAGCAAAAATTATAGATAATAATATTAGAAGTAACTTTTATTTGAACAATTTTCTTCTCCAAACATAAATAACAGATATATTCCATAAAATATAAAAACGGCCTCCCATAAAGTACCCCCCCAGATGTTCCGACTTTGTCCAAAATCTAATCATTTCACGTCAGGCCGAAATAAACCATAAGTTTAAAATTTAATGTTTTTTTCCTTTATCCGTTTTTGAGTTTTCTTCAAATTTCGAAATTTACACATTTTCTCAAATATCTCGAATACGGTCCATTTTAGAGAAATTATGTATAGGACAAAAATTATAGAGAATTATATTACAAACAACTTTTATTTGAACAATTTTTATAAAAAATTATGTTTTTTACATTTTGTCAAATTTCTCGAATACGGACCATTTTAGGAAAATTTTGCATAAAACAAAAATTATAGATAATTATATTAGAAGTAACTTTTATTTGAAGAATTTTCTTCTCCAAACGTAAATAACAGATATATTCAATAAAATATAAAAATGACCACCTATAAAGTACCCCCCCAGATGTTCCGACACTGCCCAAAATCTAATCAGCTCATTGGACGCTGAAACAAAGCTTAAGTTTAAAATTTGGTGTTTTTCTGTGTATCGGTTCATGAGTTATGCGTTATACAGACACACACACACACAGACACACACACACACAGACATCATCGCGAAAATAGTCAAAACGGATTCAGGGGACCTCAAAACGTAAAAATCCGTCGAAAACTCGAGGTCGAAAAAAATCATGATTCCTATACTTTCCTTATATCTGTATACAGATAGGAAAGTAAAAAAACATTAAATTTTAAACTTAAGATTTATTTCGGCCTGACGTGAAATGATTAGATTTTGGACAAAGTCGGAACATCTGGGGGGTACTTTAGGGGAGGCCGTTTTTATATTTTATGGAATATATCTGTTATTTATGTTTGGAGAAGAAAATTGTTCGAATAAAAGTTACTTCTAATATTATTATCTATAATTTTTGCTTTATGTCAAAATTTCCTGAAATGGTCCGTATTTGAGAAATTTGACAAAATGTGCAAAATTCTGATTTTTATGAAAATTGTTGAACTAAAAGTTGTTTGCGATATCGATCTCTATAATTTTTGTTTATACATGATTTTTCTAAAATGAACCGTAATGGAAAAGTGCTAAATTTAAATTTTTCGGTATTTTCGTTTTCAATGAATATCTATAGAAAAATGTTTCGAGTTACCTCGAAACATTTTTGTGGCCAATGCTTTATCCTCTAAACATTTATAGAGATGCTGCAATAGGTTGTACAAAATAACCGGAAAAAGCCTATAATAACTAGATAGGAAAGTCATGTGTTGGACACATCAGATTTTTTTGATTTAATTATACGAAATATTTTTTATCTTGGGAAAAAGTATGGATTATTTTCATGTTCTTGGTATGTAGGTATATTTAAAAAAAATACATATGTTAATAGATGTAATTAAAAAATCTTGAAAAAATTTCCGCTGGTTACTAAAAATAGATATAATATATTCACTAAACAAATATTTTTCTTTGAAGCCCTTGAAATATAATAAAGACTTGTTAATTAACCTGTGCCGAGCAATTTCGTCCAATTCTATACCCACACTATGCCAAATAAACATCTCATTATTGTCAACAAAATACACCAGTAAAATCAGTGTTTCCAGATATAAAGTTTCATCCCTGTATCAATATGAAGTTAATCGGTGTAATTCTGGTAATTTTTATACTTTCCATGTACACAGTTAGTACATTTGATAGAGATTGGAGATTTTTTGATAAGGTACGTATTTACTTATTTATTTTTAAATTAGGAAAAAAATCTGTCATGTTTCTGTAAAGTTATAAACAATAATTATTTTGTTATCGTCTTTAACAATTTCAAATTGTTTCAGTACAATTTTGAACAACGGAAAACCACAGAAAATAGAAAATATGACATAAACAATCCAAGACGTCCTTATCGACCATTCTATATGCCTGGAGGTCCAATTGGAAAATAACATTTAATATATTATAGATGAAAATATGTATATTCATTTATACATTATTATCCAATGTTCATTTAATGATAGTGCAAATATTTAACTTGCAAATACTATTTAATTTATTATTTAAATAGTAAACAAAGTAACAAACAGAAAATTGGGTTTTTACATTTGTTGTAAAAATTCTGAAGTACCTATCTACTAAAAATTTTAGTTTCAAGGTTGCTTAATGCTTTTAAAAAATTTAAATAAACTCTATACTAATATTTGTATTGGTATTATAATAAAATACACAGCATGTCCAATATTTCTTAATTGTAAAAATTTTGTGTATAAATAAATATTGAATTCTGGTAGGTATGTAGATAGGTACCTTTATATTCCAAACTATTTGAGTAACCTAGGATCACCTATGAAAACTGCACATAGGTTCTTTAGAAAGTAGTTTTTATATCACCCTATATATCAGTGTGATAATAAATATCACACTACATACTAGTCTGATATTATATTATGCACTACTAACCATCAATCGTATGAAACGTTTTTTTATATTAAATTGAGACGTTCAATAAATCCAATTTTAAGCGTTTCTGGTTTTTTTTTTCAAGAATAAGGTACTATGTTCTTCTTAAGGTGATTATAAAGCTCAAAGCAGCATAAAATCATATTCAAAATTCGATGTTTTCATTTGGCAGGAAATAACTGTACTAACCTTAGCTTGGTTTTTTTTTATTAAAATGTTTCAAAAGTGCGCGCCACTGACTTTATAGCGTTTAAAACATAATTACTTAAAAGAGTTAAAATTTATTGCATATTGCTTTCTATTGTTCAACTATACCAGTATCTCTGCAGTTAATTGATTCCAAAATTTAACGCAATCTAGACTTAAATATTATTAACAATAAAATGTTTTTGAAATTTGTATTTATTTCATTGCTAGTCTCTGTTATTGTAGCGGAATTGTGTATGAAACAGCAATGGAGTAATTTCAAGGTAGGTTTTTTCATGTACCAATTACATTTGAACCATATGTTTATCAGGATACTGATCCAATGGATCTGGTTCTTTAAACAGTGTAAATAACAAATAACTCATAAAAATAATGAATCACTTGCAGAAATAATACCTAGAAAAAATAATTCACTTGGAAAAATAACAAATATCTTGTAGAAATAACAAAACACTTTCAGAAATAACAAATAACTTGTAGAAATAACAAATCACTTGCATAAATAACACATATTTTATAAAAATAACAAATCGTTTGGATAAATCTCAAATCATTTGCATAAATAATAAATATTTGTAGAAATAAACCATTTGGAGAAATCACAAATTACTTGCCGAAATAACAAGTAACTTGTACAAATAACTTGTAAATAATAAATCACTTGCATAAATAACAAATATTTGTAGAAATAACAAATCATTTGGAAAAATCACAAATTACTTGCCGAAATAACTTGTACAAATAATATCTAGAAATAACAATTCACTTATATAATAACAAATCACTTGGAGAAATAACAAATTACTTGCATAAATAACAAATATCTTGTATCTTGTAGAAATAACAAATAACAACACATATTTTATAAAAATTACAAATCGCTTGGATAAGTCACAAATCACTTGCACAAACAACAAGTAACTTGTAAAAATAACAAATAACTTGTAGAAATAAAAAAGCACTTGCATAAATAACAAATATTTTTAAAAATAATTTGGAGAAATCACAAATTACTTACCGAAATAACACATCCCTGACCATGTTTATCCCTCTAAATAAATTAATTGATTTGTGAAGGCACCATTTGTTAGAGTTGGTATATAAAACGTTTTTATTCAAAAATATTATTTTTAAAATTGTTGGCACTTATACCCTTTTGAAGTTAAGGTCTTCAAATAAAAAATTACTTGCACAAATAACAAATCACTTGCAGAAGTAACAGATAAATTGTAGAAATAACAAATCACTTGCCGAAATAACAAATACATAAATAACAAATATTTTACAGAAATAATAAATCACTTGGAGAAATGACAAATTTAGTTGCAGAAATAAAAAAGTAACATGTAGAAATAACAAATGACTTTCAGAAATAACAAAGTACTTGTACAAATAACAAATAACCTGAAGAAATAATAAATATCTTATAGAAATAACAAATGACTTGGAGAAATCACAATTCACTTGCCGAAATAAATAACAAATCACTTGCAGAAATAAGAAATAATTTGTACAATTAACAAATAATTACTTGCAGAAATAATAAATAGCTTGCAGAAATAACAAATCACTTTCAGAAATAACAAATTACTTGCATAAATAAAAATCACTTGCAGAAATAATGAATCACTTATAACGAATCGCTTACTAAACTAACAAATCATTTGCAGAAATAACAAAATCACTTGCAGAAATAACAAATAATTTGTTGATAACATGGTTTTTAACATACATAGATATATATGTGGCAAGTGTTTTAGTGATCATAGGCATATTTCCACATTAATCATGATCTTCGCCCAACACAAACGACAATATTTCTCACCAGTAAGAGGTGAAAAGGTAGTATTCCCTATGATCGGTAAAACAGTAGCCAATATCAATCTATAAAAGTCAAAAAAATAAGTTTTATTTTTTAGAAAAAATATAAAAAATCGTACTCTAAAGAAGAAGACCATCGAAGGTACGGCATTTTTAAAGATACCGTCGATTATATAAATATGATAAACAAAGATCATGCTGATGGTAAAAGTAATTGGGAAGCGAAATTGTACTACTATTCCGATTACACAGAAGAGGAAAGAGAACCGCTGGAAAAAGCTGATAAGCTGAGAGGAATAATAAGATGATGTAATCCTAATGTTATGCTAAATATTATTAGAATGTAAAGGTCTTTTTTTTTAGAAATTTTACTTGTACATCATCGTATTTTGCAAACAGAGAGCCTGAATTAGCTGATCAAATTAAATCACGTTTCTCTATTCATTATTTTTGTAAAAATTTAATACGAAGTTCAGTGGTTAAAATGCAAAAAGAGTGCAAGTTTTTGAAAAAATTGTTATTCATATATGAATCTTAGAGGTATATTATAGGGTTTGTTTTTATCAATTTCTAGTACAGAAGAGAAGCAGGTCGATGTTTTACGATTAAATGGTTTTGAAAATATGATGATGTAACAGTAAAAACCATTTTTCACTCTTTCAGATTTTGTTTTATATCAGTAATAAAATAAAATAAGCTGTAACCAAATTAAATCCTAACTAACTACACCTAAAATCCCAGTTATCTGGACTCAGGGCCGTAGCCACAACCAATTTTTAAGTAGGGCAACCGAAATTTGAAATAGTGCACAACGATAGGTTGAAATTATTGTAAATTATTTTTTTAGAAAATGATTTGAAAAAAAAACTTGTATTTCGCGTTATATTTTGTAAAACTAATGTAGCTTCTAAAATACCTTTCCAAAAATTTACAAATCGATAAAACTAAAAAGAAAATAACACAATTAAAATGTTTGCCACATGGTAAAATGTTGCAGCCAAATGTTGCCACTGTTGCAAGGAGATCATATATATTTCAAAATATTTCCCTTTTACAAGATTTTCTGCATCTAACTCTGTTGAGGAATGAGTTAGTTCTTCAACTTCCTTATTGAGGTAGGTGTCATTGGCAATTTAAGGTAGGGCATTGCCCATATGGTGGGTGGGGTTTTCCTCATCTGCAAGTCAAATAGTAATCATATTTAAGTGACCCTGGCGCGCCACGGCAAATAATAATAGTAATACTACCTGTCCCTTTCTCGAACAAGCTCATTTGGGGCTAAAATTCACTAGTGATGGAGGGGTTTTATTTTTATTATTATTATATGTGCCCGCCTCAGGCTACGGTCCTGTCTGGACTCCCAATAGTAGTTCGATGAGCGGCTCATTCAAACGACTCAAATTGAGCAGATATATATATAAAAATCGATAATAAAATAAAATCTCTACGACCATGGGATAAATTCGAACGGCTGGATATTTCTTATTAAATTAAATAAATTTTGTGTCAGCAATGAATTCCAAATTAAAACACAATCGCGTTTGGAACCCCAGATAATACATGGACACCCAGTAATTGTTCGATGAGTGGCTCATTTTAATGATTGACGTGGGATAGGTATTATATTTAAAAAAATTAAAACAAATTTTTTTCGGTAATAAACCTACAATAAAAGCGAAACTATTTTACTCCCACCTAAAACACCTGAATGTAATAAGTGATAAGGTGTTAAACAGAGGCGGCTCGTGGCCTAGTTTACGGCGGGGGAATGCTTTTGAAAGGCACTTAAAATATATGTATAAAATTTATCAAAACTTAAGAAAATAATTTTTTTACTACTAACATGTGAAATCACCATTATTTACTCCATTCCTCTAATGAGAAGTAATATTTCTCACTCTAGGTAAATAATGATAATAAAAAAACACCTAGGTAAATAATAAAACTAAATTTCATTAGTTTCATTTTGTTAATTTGACAACTAAACTCCCAGACTACTTGATATTTTGAAATATTTGAAAAATAAGTAGGAAATAACTAAAGCTGGGTTTATTAAAATCTAATCAAATCAAATATGATAATATATATCAGTGTAAACAGTAAAAATATATATTAACTAGGAAATTCAACACCGGTAATAGGCTTCAAAAATTATTAATTAATACCAATAAATCCATGTCACTAAAATATCAAAAATGCAATGGGATATTTCCTAGAATCATATCAAAATTTGACATATGCCAAAATTTTACATAAATAAAGCCAGTCTGATTAGAAACACGCTCCACTCTGGTTGATATTTCGAAATATTTAACAAATTGTTAGGAAATTACTTATGTCAAAATTAAAATTGTTAATATATTAATGTTAGTAGTAAAAAAAATTCTATATATACCTCGGCTGAGAAAGCTATTATTTACCTCGCACATTATATATAAAAGTGCTTGGTAAATAATAGCTCACTTCTCACCCTAGGTATATAATGTACTATTAGGTGATCCAATCATAATCTGGCATCCGTTCCTGGCATTCAATATATTTTGGTATAGTCCAGGATCCGTAAGTAAGGTCGACCTTCACCCATCTGTTTAATGGATAAGTTTTGTTTTTTTTTTGTTTTTTAGTATGTTAATTATGGCCTATATCCTATCCAGTAAAATAATACAAATCAGTGGTTTAAACCACTACAGACCCTCAGCTATTTTATGAAATAATTAACTAATTTTTAGAAGAAAAAAAAAGTAACTTTCATCATTTTGCTGTGTGCTCTTCAATTGTTTTTTCTTGAAGAACAAAAATGGATGCAATGCTAATTCTTACGTGAAATATTAAAACACAATGTTGTCAGCTCCTGTAAGGGATGTATTATCTGAAAAATTGATACTGCTCGATGTTTGCTCTACTCAGGATGAAGATAGACACTTGTCTCGACTGTTTACATAAATTAATTGGCCTTTCTCAAAAAAATAAAATGAATTATTTAGGCACACTTTATTTATGTTAAAGCTTTGTTTTTACGAGTATTATGATGTTTAAATGTTAATTGTGCTATGGCGGTTTTCCTGAAAACGGACAAAACAAAAACAAAACACAAACTCGTGTCGAAAAAACAAAACTGCAACTTTTCGAAAACTTTTTGAAGACAGGCGTGTTTTGCGACAGTTGAAGTTTTGTTTCTCGAGTCCCGATCGGAAGCGGTGTAACATCAAAATGTTTTGACGTGTTTTGAAACTCAAGTCTGTTTACTGGAGACGGTCATCTGTGAATCAGAGCCAAAAAAAGTTAAGTGCAAATATTGTCCTTTTTAGGTTTTTATGATATCACATACATTTTTTAAACTACTTTTATGTTTTTTCAGTTTGGATCTATCTTAAAAAATAAAGACACTAGCAAAGTATCAAATTTAAAATATATTAGACGTGGGCTCTAACATACAGATATACATATAAGGTGATTCAAAAAAGACAATTCTTTTTTTTTTTAAGGATCGCAGTATAAATCATACACAACTTAAAATTAAAAAAAACTTTTATAAATACTCTTATATTGGTTGGTTATTAAAAAAATGTGTAGAAGTGGAAAAGGACTGAAAATAAAACTGAAACAAAATGTAGCCATGTAGCCCGCCTGATAGAAACAAGAGTTTTAGGTTTGTTTGAGTAGTGTTCTCGTTTTTCAAGTTACAGAAAACACAAACTCAATTGTCCGTTTAATGGACAACCGTCTTTACATACCTTGTATTTTGTAAATGTTTGTCATTTGAAACGAGAGTTCTCCGCTAGAGTGCCTAGGGCAGTCCGTGAGTTTACAGCTTACGGCCGTCAGTGGAAATTCCTTGGGTTTCACTGTAGTGACTTGTTAATTAGTTTTTTAAACGGTACTTACGAGTTTTTGACTTATTATTTAGTCTTATTGTTGATAGGGTGCTGTGAACTTGGTGATATATTTAAACTTCTAATTTTTTGCCAATATTGTAACCCCTCAATCTCCAGCTTTTCTTTTACTTCGTTTATTTTTTATACGTATGTTATCCAAGTTTGACAATATGATATTACTCAATTTTTGATAGCTGATCTAGGGTAATTCGAGGTTCTAGTTTGAAATAGGGTCACAATAAGCATGAGCCGACGTGGGAATATCTTTTTGTTTTTCCTGTGGGACTCGCTAAAACCCCAGTTTACTTCTAATTAGGACACAATTTTGCCAGTTGTTGCAAGGGGCATGTAATCTGAATAACTGAGATGTCGATATTTCTGTAATTTCCTTCCACTTGGGGGCAGACAAAGCGCCTGCGGTTTGACTCAATACTGGTAAAGCGGTTCAAATCTACTCACAAAGTCTTCTGACTGAATCGGTGTATTTTCTCATCCGGAATAATATACTTATATTGATTAAATGCGTGAAAATTCCACATAACAAAACAAACAACGTATATCATAAAAGTGGGAAGTGCTCTTGTATTTTATACTAAAAATCACAGCCTATAAAAATATCACAAAACGTTCATCCAGCTACGCATTTCATTTAGAGATAGCGTAACCTTTCAATTCCGAATGTTTGCGACCAGCTTTCTCTATCCATTCCGGTTTGTATTCGATCTCTTCGAAAGTTTTTACGGTGCCTTTCTGTTTCATCTTAAATATCGCTTCTTCGAAGTCCATAGTAGCTAAAAAAAGTAAAAAGTATTTTAAAATAGTGATGTCGAAATTAAAGGCTACCACTGGATGATCTGAAATAACACAAAATAATAGAAACGCTTTGATCCCACTCATTTTAAGTTCAAGTTCTTGCATATTAAGACTTTGTTTTCTGTCGATGTTTTCAAAATGCTGAAGTCTAGTAAACAAATAATGGCCACTGCTGCTACTGCTGTAAACAGTTGAGGAAACTGAAAATAAATTCCCAACATGCTGGGTTTGTTTTGCTCTCAACAATACAATCCATTAGTGACAACGGATGTATTGTGCAGGACTATGTTTTAAAATCAAATATGGAAAAAGGAAAATATTTTATATGCAAAATATTTGATAAGGTAAAATCACACTCCCATCTAAATTCATTATAATTTTATTTCACTTAATAGTTTAAATATTTCCTGAAAAAACTATAACAACCGATCGTTCAGAAAACAACGTCCGGCACTTCAATAAATATATAAAGATAATACTTAATTAAAAAACTACACTTAATAAAAACAATTGTTTAACTCTCTATCTAAATAAAATTTCTCTAAATTTGCATCAGTAGAGTCGCTCTTTTGGTGCTTTTCTTTGCAATTGTTATATATATACAAGTATTTCGATATTATTTAAAATACTCAAAAGTTAGAAACTTCAATAATAGATCATAAAAATCTACTCTGCTTACTCACTTATTTGTATTAAAGATAGGATATTGTCAATTTTATGATGTAGCGTAAACTTTTAAGAAGCGAAACAAGACGAATTACAAATAAACATCCAATATAGAGCAGATCATTCTCGAAAAAAATAATCTCATTAACTAAATAAATGTTGATATTCGCGACCTCTACCGTTCATTTTTTTAAATCAACACATACATCCGTGTGGCGCGCTAAAGTATTTTCGACTAAACCGTTTTTCGAGCCCTTATCGATTTTTACATCAACTCAATCAATGTTATGGGATCTGATTTTGTCATCTATCGACATATACATGCCTTCCTCCTGGTACACAGAATCGTGTTTGGCGAGAATACGCAGCAAAGGACGCAACTTCAGCCACCATTGATCTCTGGGGATACGCAGTCTGAAATAAAAGCAAACCCGGTTAAATTCGTTACACAAAGTCTATCTTATTAAAGCTTACTCGAAATTGGTTTGTGATTTCAACGTTTCGATCGACGTGCACAAATAGTGGCGCTTCTGGATGCCCAAAACGCAAGCGGTATTAGGATCCATGCAATTTACTCTCCCGTCAGCAGTCATGTTTCCTTTTACTTGGCACACGATCCAATCGACTGCTTTCGTCGCCATTTTCGTTCCTAGATTCCTATCGAAAGGGGAGGGAGATCCACCTTGTTGCATATGACCTACAACCATCAAAATAAACCATTTAACTTTGTCCTTATTATAGTAACATCGCCATTATTATCTGTATCTTAAAAGTAAAGAATCGTATCCCCAATTTTTTTACTTTTTACCTCTTGGAAAAATGAAAATACTATTTTTATATCTATACTGTATTAAAAAATAGTCAGTATTTATATAGATACGATTTTCTACCACTAAAGGTATTTAGAGTGAATGCACTCCATTTAATACTAAACTGGAGATTCAATTATTTACCTCTAAGGTACAAATATAAGAAGACCGTCGTCGATATAGTAATGTCGTTGTAATATCTTAATAGTATAAATAATAGTCCATTAGTACAAAAGTAAATTGGCGCTGCTGTCACGTACGGAGCGAATAGGAACACCGTCGTCATTGTTATACCTTGATAGTTACTATAGCAACTTTGTTAAAGAAGTATAAAATTGAATTTTGGCAAAAATCATTTGTCAAAACAAATTAGTCGTTGCTATAGTAAATTGTCTTCACTATGCCCATGTCACCGCTCTTTATATTAATCGGTTATAAGCAAGCAGGGTTATATTTAGCCTCTGGGTCCATGCAGTCTACAAGTAGTGGGGATCATTGTGTAATCCCTTCACATGAAGATGTTTCAACAAGCAGTGTCCCGTTAATATAGTAACATCGTCGATGTTAAATAACTTAATAGTTACTAAAGCGATTCCTTTACCGAGATTTAAACCTGCGTTTTGCCAAAAATCGTCGCTATAGTAAATTAGTCATCACTATACCCATGTCACCGTTACTATGATTCATAGGCTGTTGCTATAACAAATTCGTTATTACTTTTTTTGTAATAGTTACGAAAGAAATTTCGTTCTTGCTATAGCAAAATGGCCGTTTTTAGAATCAATTTTTTGTTATTACAATTTCTTAATTCTTTCCTCCGCGTTTCCGACTAATCTAGATGCACAAACGCAAAACAGATGGGAATATTTTCGGAATTTTCTGTTTAACTTTGGTGCTAAATATCTGTATTTTTAAAATGCAAATTCATTTCTAATGGAGCTTAATTTATACACTGCAGCATGGGTACTAATTTCACTAGATAGCCTTACTTGTCAATGTGAAACTATAGATTTTTTTTAATATTGCTGTTATTTATAAACGTGCAGTAAATTACTCAAATTTTTTAAAGGATTTTATTTGAGTATATTGTACTTTACTAAAACGACTTTATGACCGAAACATAAAAAAACTCACCCAAAATGTTCATCCTAGCGCTGAACAGCCCTTTCCCTTCCTCTGAATACAAACGGTAGATGAACTCGGTGTTGTAAAAGTCCGAGGCTTTTTCGTTTCTTAGAATCAGCCCTCTTTGTACGCCCTCGGACATTTTCGACGCCATATGGTATACATCCTGTTGCAGTTCTTTGATGGTAAAGTTTTCCTCGTAAATATAGGCCGCATCTGCACCACCAGCAAGACCTAAAACAATTCAGAGATGTAACTATTTCCTGGCGGAGGGTTCTAGAGATATATTACTGTTATGAGAGCAGTTCAGTTACTTGGTTAGCAAATAAGAATAGCATGTCGTTGGTACTTAATAATTGTGGCACAACTGAAAAACATACATTTTTGAGGACATCCATATTAAACTTTCTTATTTCCTGTATCTTTCATTTTAAAAAACTTTGAAATCTTTCTTATTCAAACAATAACAAGTTTGCTTTGATATCATTAAGAAATTCACTTTTGAGTTATGATCTTCTAGAAAATTATAATTCACACCATATTGATGATGACCGTTTCAACAATAGTGTCCAAATTTGACTTGTATCACTGTTAAAAATAATGTTTTTTTTTTTTAGTTATTTTTTAATAAAACTGACACGATTTATGTCACTCTAGTCGAAAATTGATAATCTTGTCTTATTGACTGTTAGAGTACAACTAGATTTTTGGCATCGTCATACCCGAGACTATGTAGGACGGGAAGAACGACACAACCGCTTTTTGCAGCGGTCCGTTTTAAAGGTAGTAATATGTTATTATTCCACAAACAAATATGCGTATTTTTCCGTATATTTTCAGAATAAACTTGAAAATGGAATTTTTTGAGTTATGTCACTATTCTTCTGCAGCAACGATGTGAAGAAATTATTAATCGATATATAAATATCAAGAGAAAAAATTGTATTAGTGATAACACTTTTTCGATTGAATATTCTACTCCATAGGATCAAGTTTTGGTTTACAGAAAAACTTCTTAAAGATGTATTACTATTATGGGAAGAGTTTGGTTACTTGGTTAGTGAATAATATTATGTCATTGGTATACAAGAACCATGACACAACTGAAAACATTCATTTTTGAGGACATACATTATAAAGTTTCTTGTTTTCTGTAAGGATCTTATATTTTAAAAATGTTTAATGTTCGTTCACCTTATACAGGGTGTTCCATCTCAGACGAGCCACCCCGTATATTTCTTATCCCATAGTAATTGGAAAAATTTTCCGAAACACGTCAGATGATTTTCTTTGGGGAACATCTTTTGACGTATATTTGAGGCTTAAACGAGCAACCCACCCCCTATGAAAGAGCGCTTCAACCCCTCAAAGTTGAATAGGAAAGAGGGGTTGAGTGATACTTCATTTGTAAGGTCTTGGGAGCCTCTTTACAACGGTGTATGAAAAAATGACATTCTTAAAAAAAATTAATTGTTTTATCATGATTATCAAGAAAGATACAACCACTTTCCAGCGACCGTTTTTGGAAGTAGCAGTATATAGCTTTGAAACCATTAAAAAAAAAACGATCATCCTTCTGTTGAGTCATGACGATCTTCTAGAAGTATATATTTCACACCATATTGATAATGACCTTTTCAGAAATAATGTCCTAATTTGACCTGTGTCACTATTAAAAAAATGTTTATTTGTTAATTTTTAATAAAACCCATATTTTGATTTAAGTCACTCTAGCCGAAAATTGATGATCTTGTCTAATTAACTAGAATTATATTACTCTTTATCATCATAAACTTGCGACTTTGTAGAACGAATATAACAATAAAATAGATTTCCAGCGGTCATTTTTAAAAGTAGCAATATGCCATTCTTCCACATAAAATTATGCGATTTTTCCTACATTTTCACAATAAACTCGAACATTTAAGTTTTATGTAGCATCACTATTCTTGTGAAGAATAATTATTCGATAGAAACCAACAGAAAAAAATTGCATTAGCGATAACTCTTAAATTCGACTGACAAACCTACCTGCCAGCGTTGCCAGATATCCGCAGTAGCCGCCCATAGTTTCTACGATGAAAACTCTTCGTTTCGTTCCCTGGGCTGACTGTCTAATTCTATCGCAAATGTCGGTAATTTCATTCAGGGCGGTGTCGGTACCTAGAGAAAAATCCGTACCTGGCATGTTATTACTAATGGTACTAGGGATTAATATCATGGGAATACGGAAGGCTTCGTATTTGCCACGGGCCTCCGACATTTGTAGGATAGCTTGGAAACCCTAAAAAATAATTATTCGTTTGTTAAATCGTAAACAATAATTATCAAGAGTTAACGAACCTCAAATCCGCCGATAATGAGCAGCGATTGGATTTTGTATTCTTCCAACACTTTAGCCACATCGTCCAGTCTACCACCTGGTAATAATCTTTTGGTACCCAGCAAGGCCCCACCTTGGTTCACCCAACCTGTCACGTCGGACCAACCTAAAAAAAAAAGTGTGTCAAACACAGGCTCTGTAATTAGTTCATCTTTAGGCAAAAAATAAGTAGAAAAATCCCTAAAAGAAATCCATGGCTAACAATTTATACAAAAAGTTATAAAGGTATATACAATTTGAATGTGAAGATTAATATTTCTTTGTTTGTGGCAACTTACCCATTTTTTTAATGTTTCCTGCCAGAAGTCCTTCTATGCCATCTTGAATTCCTAAAACTGTATCGCCACGGTAGATGCAGTTGCGAACGAAGGACCGAACGGCCGCGTTCATACCACAACAGGGGGCGCCAATGTGCATCACAGCCATAACGTAACCTTCCTAGGAATTAGCGGTTATAAAGTGTCCGACTTAAATAGGGACACTAATGGAATTTTTTTAAATTTTATTGGAAAATTGTATTATTTATAATAAGTTTCTGCATAGGATTTCGTTATAGCAATTTTTTACTACTCTAAAGAAATGAGAAAGGAACTTTTATAAGGAGTACAATAGTCTGAAACAGTTACAATGAAAAAAAAATTCCGTTTATGTCCATATTTATGCCGGACACTGTATACATGTACAGTTGTAGTTAAGAGCCACTTTAGACTTCGTAATTCATTGCAAAAAAATCGTCAAATTAAGACCGCACTTTTCCATGCATTTTAGATACAAAAAACAAGGGTTTATCATTTCTATTTAAGTTTAAATTCTGCTAAATTTATTAAAATAAATACTGTCCCAGTTTAAAATTCAAGGTTTGGAAAATGACATTTCCTTTTTGTGTCCTGTTTCTTTATTAAATAAAAAAAAAAACATTAAATGTGATTTTAAAAACCATTGCTAAAAAGTAGATTTCATTCAACATTTTTTTCTAAGTAACCTACTGAAATATTTTTGATCTATTTGTATTTGTCTCTCATCGTTCCAGTTATTTACATCTACAAAATGTATTTCTAAAGTAGAATTACGTTTGTCGAAGTGCAGATATTTTATTCTTTTCCATCCGAATGTATAGTGGTGTAAGGGATACGGCGTCTGCTACTGGGGCAAGTGATTGTGATTCGAGTCTCGACATATACAATCTTTTTTTTTTCTTTTTTTTTCTTCGACTTGTTATTGTCCTTGAGTGAGAATCTCGTTTTTGGATAATTTGTTATATTCCAGCTTAGAATTAGAGAAACAATACCATTTAATAATTAAATGAAACACACATAAATAATTCTTTTATTCTTCCATATTCCAGTGAGTTAGTTTACCTAATGTAACACAAAACATGTCAAATGAAACGAATACGGATTTTTAAACTCTTAATTTCAGCCATTTTTCTCCCACACAAGGACAACCCTGTTTTTTTCTAGCTTTTTTTCAAGGGACAAAAACCATAACTAAAACGCGACAAATCCTTATACCTACTTCCATTTCCGATCCCAAAACAAAATCGAATTTTTTTACTTAGAACTCGAAAAAATAATTGATTTTTCTGACTTAGAACTTGGAAAAATTTATTATTCCGACTAAGCAATCGGAAAAATTAATTATTTCGACTTAGAAATTGTAAAAATAGATTATTCCGACTTAGACGCGAAAAAATCGATTTTTCTAACTTATAATTTGGAAAAATAGATTATTTCGATTTAAAACTCGGAAAACTGCGATTTTTCTGACTTATAACTCGGAAAAATAGATTCCTCCAACTTAGAACTCGGAAAATTGTGATTTTTCCGACTTAGAATTCGGAAAAATAGATTATTCCGACTTAGAACTCGGAAAAATAGATTTTTCTAACTTATAATTTAAAAAAATGGATTATTCCGACTTAGAACTCGGAAAACTGTGATTTTTCTGACTTATAACTCGGAAAAATGGATTATTCCGACTTGTAAATCGGAAAAAATGTATTTTTCTTACTTAGAACTAGGAAAAATAAATTATTTCGAGTTAGAACTCGAAAAAAAGTGATTATTCCGACTTATAATTGGGAAAAATTGAATATTTAGATTTGGAACTTAGAAAATAGATTATTCCTATTAAGAATTCGAAAAAAATTAACTTGTACGACCTAGATCTCGGAAAAATAGATTATTCCGATTTATAACTCGGAAAAATCGATTTTTCTAACTTATAAATCGGAATAATAGATTATTTCGACTTATAACTTGTAAAAATAGGTCATTCCGACTTCGAACTCGGAATAATAGATTATTCCGACTTAGAACTCGGAAAAAATTGAATTTTCTGACTTATAACTCGAAAAAATAGATAATTTCGTCTTAGAAATAGGAAACAAATTATTTTTCTTACTTAGAACTCGGAAAAATAGATTATTCTGACTTAGAACTCGGAAAAATCTACTTATACGACTTAGATCTCGGAAAAATAGATTATTTCGAGTTAGAACTCGAAAAAAAAATTGATTTTCCGTCTTAAAAAAACTATAAAAAATATATTATTGTGACTTAAGTAGGAAAAATAGATTATTCTGACTTATAATTGGGAAAAATCGAATATTTCGACTTAGAAATCAGAAAATAGATTATTCCTACTTAGAATTTGAAAAAAAATCATCTTGTTCCACCTAGATCTTGGAAAAAATAGATTATTCCGACTTGGAATTCAGAAAAATCGATATATACGACTTAGAAGTCGGAAAAAATTGAATTTTCTGACTTCGAATTCGAAAAAATGGACTATTCGTAATTCTTTAATAATACCGTTTAGGTAAGGAGTGAGGGCTGCAATATATAATCAAAAATAGGTTTTATAGACGTATTTATCCTCCATGGTCCCCAGGGCCTGCACGAAAGAATGAAGACCCGGTAATGTCAAATTATATTTATTTTTTATAAGTATAGACTTCTTTTACATGTAAATAAATTTCTTTTAGTTTAGTCTAGCCATTTTTCTCCAGAATTACAGCTATAATATGCAATGTAATAGCAATTCAACAGTTATCGAAAGTAGGTTAGTGCGCAGACGTGCAATACGAACTGTAAAGTGGCTTTTAAGTCCGCAAACGATAGAAAATACATATTGTGCTTTTTTTATTTCACACAACTGATTTTGCTGAAATGTATTTATATAGAAGAGAAAATAAAACTAGGGGAAAAATTATAAAGAAAAAAATATAAAGAAAAATGTAAAAAAAAAGAAAGAATAAGGAGCTCGATTTGAAACTTATACTCACCGACCCCCATACAGTATCTTGCTATTAAAAAAAAGCAGTGTTAGTCCAATGCAGAGCAAATAAACCAAATAAACCAAAAAAAGAAAAAAATAATATTAAAAATGTGGCGCCAAACCCATATTGCTTACATTCAAACAATACAGAAAGTATAGTAGTAATATTTATTTACATATTTTAATATTTTTAAAATAAATTAAATTTTTAAGTCTGATTTTCTGTATTTTTGAATTTGAACTTGATATATTTTGCATGCAAGTCAATTACAATCAAAAAACCCAAGGCAAAAAAATTCAACATTTCCTACAAAAAAAAAAAAAAGATTAAAAAAAGGACATCCACAGACCAGAAAAATTTTTAATTACAAATATACAGAATGGACTGAAAAAGAAGAAAAACTTTTAGAGAAAATACATAAAAGTTTTTGCTTTACTGAAATAATGACAATTTATTTTTTACATTTTTGTTATTATTTCACTAAAGCAAAGATATAGTCAACTTCTATTTGGATGATTATTATTAGTTTTTAAACATTCAAAAACTTTTTTTGAAAAGGTGAAAATAAAAAAGTTTTTCCTCCTCTTTTTTAGCCCATCCGCGGACAACCCTGTATCTGCATGCATTAAGCAATGAAAAAAACAATACCTTTCTGATAGGAGCCTTCTGACAGCCCAATAAATAATTCGAAGTAGATAAGTAAAATGTAAAGTATATATAAAGTGATGCATCAGTAGGCATGCTTCTTTGATTTTAAGAGTTTAGAAAAATGATTGCATCACCAAAGATAACTAAATTATTTGAGCCTTCACCAGGAAGCAAACCAACTCTTACCGTGTCCCTAAACCGTCATGATCACAGGAAAACTAAGAAGTGTAAAATTCTTTAATTAACTCTAAATGCGCTTTGGATACAATGTAATGCAACTTTTTTCTAAACAATCATTTTAAACGAAAGCGTCCAATGCAATTTGAATTAAAGCTAAAATGATCTAAGGCGTAAATTATTCCAACCATAGTGTTACACTCTATGAGGTCTCGGTTTTAAAGTTTCCTCCCAAATTCACTTACATGACTGTATTCTTTATCAAAATAATTTGGCGTATTAAAAAAATAAAATTATCATTTAAATCAGACTGTTTATTTATGTAATACTTACTTCTCCCCGTAGACCTTTTTCCGTGAAAAATTCTTTGGGAGGTTTGAGACGGGTCAGCAGTTTGTAAGTTTCTAAATTCCTTTGGAAAGACTTGCCTCTAAGTTCGACAGCCCTGTCCCACTTTTTCTCTTCCATGGCCTATAATGAAAAACGTTCTTTAATAATGAAAAGCAAACTTTAAACTATCCTAATTCAATTTTATAGCGTTGTAATCATAGAATTTTGTGAACAATTCTAATAATGTTCTCAAGTCATTTATATTATAGGAAGCTTCTTCAATTTCAGATTCTTTAAAATCAAGATACAGTTGTGTATCATCTTCATAAAAATCTGATTTCATATATTTAAGGTGTCTATGAAATTGAGACGTATATAATGCGAATAAGAGAGGCCCTAGAGTAGACCTTTGAGGTACGCCGCGAGTGATTAGAATATCGTTTGAACTTTTTTCACGTAAAACTTCCTTTTGTGTCTTTTGGTCTAAATATGATTGAAGCAGATTTAAAGAAGAAATGCCAAATCCTATATAATGACAAATAGATCTAAGCAGACTGATTTTGTCAAATGCTTTAGAATAGTCTAATAGTACTAATATACAAAGCTGGTTAAGATCAATTGCATGATAAATGTCATTTAAAACCTTGAGCAATGCAGTAGTACAGCTGTGATTTGGACGAAAGCCTGACTGATTTATAGGTAATATATCAAATCGGGAGATGTGAAGTCTTATTTGTTCTGCCATTATTTTTTCTAATAAATTGGACAGTGTTTAAAGAATGCTTATAGGTCTTAGTTGGCTATATTCCAATGGTTTGTCTGTTTTTAGGAGTGGTATTAGTCTAGATTTTTTCCACAGTGAAGGAAAGAGAATTACTAAGACAGTAGTTAAAAATATGGGTTAGGTACTGTAGAATAAATGGACAGCAGTGGAGTAGCACAGTAACATTTATCTTGTCTGGACCGCTGGCAGATTTTCATAGACTTTTAGTTCTTGTACAGTTTTAAAATTAAATGTATCAACATTATTGATAGTCGATGTGCAATAATAGTCCAGGATAATTAGTTCTGGGGGATCACTACCTCCAATACATCGAATTAATTGTAAACTCAGTAAAACTGTTACAGTACCTTAGCAACTTCTTTAGTTTGCTTGACACACTCCATCAGTGGTAACCGGACAGCTTGGTTTCCGTCTAAAGATATAACACACGGTTCGGCAGAGTCATCTGCTTCCATGAGAGCCATCACCGCTTCAGCGCCCATTCTCGAACCCTAATAGAGGAAAATGTATATTCACAAGCATTAAGTTTTTTACGAACACTTACCAAAACTCTATCGAAAGCCGATGGACTACCTCCTCTTTGTACGTGGCCCAATACAGTTATCCTAGTATCTTGGTGTAAGTTCTTTTCAACGACGTTTTTGACTTGTTCCGCGGTTATAGGTTGACCGTTTCTATCAATGGCTCCTTCGGAAACGATGATGATGTTCAAACGTTGACCAGATGCTCTTTCCTACAAATAAACGATTAGTTTTTTGATTAAAAAAATTAATATTACACTTTTAACCATACAATGGTCGCCTGACACTTATTTGGTTTCTTGACGCTGGGCCACTCAGGTTAAAATATTTTAAATGATCTTATGTAGGTGTCAATGTTAAATTACAGATGAATGAATGACAGGGTCACAGGATAGATGAAAAATACAAAAATAAAAGTAACGGTAGGCACTTTAAAGGGGATAAAAATATCTGACAGTGCTACCATAAAAGTACTATGAGTATTCATAAAAATTATATACAGATTCAGCTTAAGTTTTTCTTGGGTATTGCCGATTAACAAGAGAAACTGCGATAGCTTTATAAAAATCGAGCAGACGCCTTAAATTCCACTCTGTGTGTCTTATTCTATTTTCTCTCTTAATCTGGCTTCATATGAATATTCTTTATGTTACTTCTTATAGATTTACTCTATACCCAAGACAATTTAAGTAGACTTTGTATATTTCTATTGTACTTTGATAATACTCCACCATAACTAAGGCGTTGCTACGGTGGCTAGTTTTCTTTCTAGGTCGTTCATCCATTCTGTGACAGGGTTGATATTAGGTTAATGAGGTCAATATTTTTAGTTTGATACTTCTTTATGTAAATGATAAATTGTGTGCAGATTTTAATAATTTCAGGCGACCACTGAGATTGATAATAGTTTAAAATACTTCTCTCTTTCTCTTATAAAACAAGAAATAAAAGATGCAAAAAGGATAAGTCCTAACTCTTTCCAACTAAACTGGTGGTGGTGTTTGGTGTTTTAAAACCACCAGTTAGGTCTTCTTGGATATTTTTATATTATATTTCAAAAATAAAGTTAACGTATTTAGGTTTTATTAGAGACAAGAGATGAAGTCTTAATAAGTATATTGTAAAAGAATGATCCAAGAATGTACGAAAAATATTTAAATCGTGTACAGTACTGTACAGGATTTAAATACTTATCAAATAACAGTTAACTCATTTGTACAATAAGAAATTGAAGATATCGGACATTCTTGGACCTTGTGCCATTTTTATTAGTAATAGAACTAACTGAAAGCAATTTTTGTATAACAAACATAATTATTGTGTGTAACGTTCGGCAAGCGTGTGATTTTTTTAAAAGATAGCACACCATTACATGCGACATTTAAACAGAGCTAAAAGCAGTTTTTATTTGAATTCGACAAAATAAATTTAAAATGAACATCTCATGACAGACATACACTACCTATATATCAGAAACTACTCAAGGCATTTATTTTTTTTGCGAATTTATATTATAGGTAATAAGTAAATATTATGTTACCGACAAATGACAAGTCAAACTTACGTTCTAACATTTGTAATTAAAAAAGGAAAATAATTCCAACTCAAATGTGACCAAGACATAAAATGAAACAAAAAGAAAGCCATGTGTTACAAAAAATATGAGCAACCTTTTCCATTCGGAAAACAACTACTCCTTTGGCTAGTACCGCAACACGTATTGTGTTGAAATTAGATGTCTATCTTTGTTGCCTTTCCTTTGGATATTTTAACGAATTTTAAGGTGTACCTTGCAAAAAAAAAAAAACGGTCAAAAGAACAAGAGTGAATACTCGTATAATAGGCCCAGATAACTTATTTTCTTAAAAATGAACATTCAAAAATAATGACTTTAGTGTAAAATCTTATTTATTACTGACATTCGAACGTGAACATCAAGTAAGTATGACATAACAAAAAATTATATATACAGTGTCTTGAAATAAAATAAAGACAGATAAAATAACTACATTTCGAACATATATAATTTAATACCTGTTGCGGTATTAGCCAAAGCAATAGTTGTTTTCCAAAGGGAAACTGTCGTTCGTATTTTGTGTGACACATGGCTTTGTTTTATTTTATTTGTAATTAAGTTCAGTAAGTCATACATGATTCTCAAATGCCGATTTCCAAATAAGGAAGGAAAACTCAAGTCATTTATCACAACATTCTATATTATTTTCTCAAACTGTATGTGCCACACCATGTATTTTGGTAGAAATAAAGCATAGTAGGAAACATCTGTAGAAAAATGTTCACAATGTCGTGTGAGTAGTTTGAGACATATTTTTAACCCAACCACACGAAAAAAAAAATAAAAAATGGAAGACCGGTTCCTACAGCAATCAGAAACAGTCTCATAGAGTCAAAATTTAATCTTGTACATTCAGTACACGTTAATTAAAAATACAAACACGGAATACGAGAAATATTTCATAAAGTTTTCATATTATATGTACAATTTCCTAATAAAGTTGGGAACAAAACCACAGGAAGTTACCAATTGTCCAGTGTCTACAACATCCCTTATTTTGCAAAAAAAACATCCCCGGATGGTACACTGTACCTTGTAAACCGTTGTTAAAACGTAAATAATGTTTAGAACCAAAAATGTTCGCATTAAATTCTGCACAAAAAATGTTCTATAAATATTTTAGCTAACCCACACTGAATTCTTTCAAAATAAGTTTATAGTTTTGGGTAGTTTTAGCAGGTCGTTAAAATATGTCAGCGATCTTACATACGTGTACTGTTATAATTTTGTTGTAGCACAGTAAAATTCTTTGTAACGCTGATCCTACAAACGAAAAAAAAAAAGTAATGTTAGGCTTACTAAAGACAGCACTTAAAAAAAAAAAACGCGCCAGAGCTCTATCTCATGAATGGTGTGGAAACGATCTCAAATTAGAAAATGCATAGTTATAAGGCTTTAAAATCTGTGTTTCAGCCAAATTTTGAATTTTGACTTCGATAATACTTATGTGGGTATATTATAACAGTAGAATTATGGACACCACTTCAATTAAAGCCACATTTAACACATTCAAATAACCTGCTAAAAATTACCTCCAATTTTAAACGTTATTAGAGGGAATTCAGAGTGGATTAGCTAAAATGTTTATAAAACAGTTTTTTTGTAGAATTTAATGGCGAACATTTTTGGTGGTATACATTTTTTACTTATGAACAATGGTTTGTGAGCAAATTGAGAAAAACCGGCACAATGTACAATCCGGGGGTGTTTTTTTTTTGCAAAATAAGGGATGTTGCAAACATCGGCTACTTGGGAACTTTTGGGAGATTTCTTCCTAACCCTATTTGCAGTATTATCTACCTAATATGAAAACTTTAAAAATTATTTCTTCTAAAAAGTACTATTTCCAAGTACTAATGGGGAATTTCAATGAAAACTATTCACTAAATAATTTTAAAGGTGATACTTTTTATGAAAAAATAGAAGTAAAAAATCATGATATACTCGTAACTTTCACCCTATTCTCCTTATTTTTTCAATGTAACACCCTGTATATTATTGCTTTTTTTCTATTCTCCTCATATATTCGATTCCAAAATGTAAACCTTAAATTTAAAGTAAATCAGTTTAATTCTCACAAATTGATGGTATTTTCATCATAGCAATAACAAATTATTTTATTAGTTGTTGAAACTGACTTCCAACGATTTTTGACTTATTTTGAATTTTTTCTTAAAAGCCTCACCTTTAAAATTGTTTAGGGTTGATAGTTTTTATTGAAATTCCCTGTATATGAACAATATTTAAAAAAAACGTACTGTGCAGAATTCTAACAGTTTCTGTTCAATGCTGTAACAAATCATGCAGTCTATTCGGGGAAATACTGAATAATCTTTTTGTTAGAAAAATTGTTGATACATAGGATATAATTTATAATAAATTATTTTTTATGGCATATATCTTTCGAACTTTTTCGCGATGTTTTAAGTTTTACACTTTTTAATATCTTACACCCGAACTAATCGAGATATCTATCAAGTTTTTATACCAGTTGCAATTTCTCGCATATCTTAGTTTCCCAATCGTTTTCTACTGGTTCTTCTGGAATAAACACATAATCAGCTTCAGCCGCTAAACCGACGACTATTGCTAGGTAACTACAATGAAATAGTAAGGGATTATTAGTGAGTGGATTAAAAAAAGGTAAACACAAAACGAACGATGGTATCAAACACAGTGCTTATAATTTAATTGTTATCAAGATTATTGATTGTTTCTGCCTTTATTTGATGCAGATCTATATTAGTCTAAGAGCTGGAGCCGAAAAAATGCTTTGGTTAAAGTTTGAATTTCCTTATTAAACAAATTACATCGATATGATGGGTAAAAATTTGTAAAATGGAAAATTATCAGCTATTTAAATAAATTCCTTGTCGAAAACGTTTGAAACAAAAATTCCACCCAACTAACCTGTCGTAGATATTCACATATGGTTTATTGTACAATAAAAAAGAAGTAATTAATTTGTATTATTTTATTTTCAAACATTTTCGGCAAATTAACCCCTGCAGCCACCAACTTTGCACCAACCCTGCTGTCGGAGACTTGTAATTTAAATTAAGTAGCTTATAATCTTCCATCCTAGAAATTTTCACAGACCCCATTTTTTGTTTAATAAGAAAATGTCAACTTTCATCATTTTTACTTAAATCCTGCACCACTAAGAGTCTGAGAAGTTCGGATATGTAGGGATAATTTCATGAACTACTGAGTTTAAATCAATTACTATTATCGTAGTGCCTTCTTGATAATTTCCAATTATTAAACCATTTTAATATGCAGGTATTTTTTTTATTAAAGTTACTTGCCGAGTGCGAAAGGATAGAGATATTCTTCTAAAATATTTTTAACACTCAACTGAACGAATAAGGCGTTTCAATTGCTGTCCAATAATTTAAGGCAGAGCTTCGAAATCCAGCTGGTTCTTAGACTAGGGAAGATAGGGGAGAAGTAACTAGAATTTGAGACCGATGCAGAAGATTTACAGTCATTTTATTGGTGCCAGAAAAGCCATGTTGTAATTTATGTATACGAAAAGTAAATTAGGGTGTTATCACCAGCTCATGGATATACAGTGAGCATCATAAGTATTACCCCCCTAACTAACTTGTTACTGGGGTCTTGTTAGGAAAATCACCGAGGCAGGTCGATTTTTGATTTCTACAATGTACATTTTTGCATGATTAGTATACCCTTAATTTCATCCCTTACTGGAGGGCAGCAACCCTTTCGAAAAATTTAAATGACATGGGGTGGTGAGTGATAGCTCATTTGAAAGGGGGTTTTATTCTCTATACAGGGTGATTTGAATAAGTATCGACACAGACCAGGTGCGTGTTGTCACCCCAAAATATGATTTAACACAATTTACCTCTACACCAAGTTGTACCCCTGAGTTACGGAAGCCTAAAAGGGAGCATAACTTAAAAAAATAATATCTTTGCAACCCTTTAACTTACAAAATCTATATTTAGTAAATTATTTAGGCACTTCATGAGTCTTGATTTGGGTGTGAGTAAGAACTAATTGAAATATTTTAAGGGGTGTATTTGGGGTAACCCACAATTTTTTTAATTTTAATTTTTTGCAAAATTTTATTTTAAAACTTTTTTCACACTTTATTTTTTATTACACTTAATATTTTTCAAGAAAAACGCGAAAAATGAAATCAATATAATTATGACAATGTTAATACAAAAATCACTTGAAATTTTAGTTGGCCATGAATTTCTCAATTAAATTTAACAAATAGCAAATAATTTTTAATTAAATCGATTTAAATGCGAAAGCACAATTAAAATCAATAAAAATATTATCTATATAATAAGAAAAATTGAAATATTGAACAATTACGCACTAATGGGACACCCTGTATAATAATAATAAGTTTTTTTTTTAGAAGATTGATTTAAATATTTTCATTTATAATAATAATTATACTCGCCCTAATTCACCCCCTTACGAGTGAATAGCAACCCCTGAAGCCGACTGAGCGACTTTTGTAGGGGAAGAGACGGCTATTATTATTATTATTTGCGTGCAGCTTCAGGGCGACTTAAAGATGGGTGAGGAAAACCCGGAAAACCACACCCACCATCATAATTATTATTATTAATAAATTGTATGTTTTAGATTTCCTCTGAAGTATCCAGAAAGAAATATTTGGACTATTAATTTGTTCGTTTAATTTTTTACGCCACTGTATAAAGCTTAGGCAGAGAAAAATATTTTTTTTCTACGAACCGTAAATTTAACGTTTTTCGCGAACTGACATTAAGTGACAGCTTTGTTGCTCGCCTAATTTAAATTAGTCTTGATTTAATAATATATCTTTTTAATAAATAATCTTGTGTGCATTTTGACCGGCAAAGTATTACTTTTCGCTCTTAATACACTTAACCTCTAGTTCCTAATGGTCGCATATTAGAAGTTCTGAGTTATATTGCCTGGCATTCCCACTTAAAAACATTCAAAGCATTTAAAACTAAAAACAAACTGCATAAACCAAAATGAACGTTTTGGATAACCCTTTAAAAAGCTATATAAACCAATAAAAGCAACAAAAAAATAATAGCCCAATTTGCGACATTTCTTCCACGTAATACCTGCAAAATTTTAGTGCACAGCATATTGGGCCAATCTGGATCCGCAGGCCATTCTGGTATAAAAACGAAATCAGCTTCGGAAGTTATAGCTGCAATTAAGCCTAAATAACTGCAAAGTTTTAGAAACAAAAAAACAAAAATCAAACTAATTATCTACGCTAGAGGAACGCACTCACTCTGTTGTCTACTAAATGAAAAATAATATAAAAAAAGTGACAGTCGATATGAACCCAAAATAAAAAAAAAAACGAAAAAATAGATGAATGAATGTTATGGTGTTCGAAACGTTTGAAAAATGCAGAAGGAAATTCACGATAACCAAGAACTGAAATAAAAGCAAAATTAAAAAGACTGTCTCCGTATAATTTATTAGGAGAGCATCTATTTAAGAAATATTTGAATATCTTTCTAAAACACCCATAAATCTTTAATGTTAAAAAACAATTGTTGAATCTCTGGAGTTATCTCTTTTTTGCACCAAACACATTCACGAATTTTGATATGATTTTGTGAAAACGTCGAGTTTCTTGACAGTATTTTGAATAATGAATATGTTCAAATATGGTTGAAATGTTACATACTAAAGTGCAGCTTTTCTCAAAGTGTGCCTCGCGGAGCCCTAGGGCTCCACAAAGCCTCTGTGGGAGCTCCGGGAAGAAAATATTAGTCATAATAAAAAAAATACCAATGGAGTACTATGAGGAACTTCTTTAGATTTTAGTAAGAAAGGATCTGATTTTGGTTGATGGCCTGTTTTTTTTATAAATGTCCCAGGGTTACAAAGTAAATAAAACCTATCTAACGCAATATAAAGTTAAAAAAATATATTAGGGCTCCGTCAAATATTCCGTCGCTAAAAGTTTGAGGAACGCTGCACTAGTGAAACAAATATAAAGTATTTTGCCATGATTTAAGTGATTTAAGCCAGAAAAAACTATTTAAAAATCATATTAATCTAAGTTGACTTGAAAATTTCTGTTGTTTGAAATATACGAATAAAATCTTTTAAAAATGTAATTATTTTTTCTTTTCGTTTATGTCAATAGAATGTTAGTTTTGGTGCAAAAATGGGATAACTTCAAGAAATCTTTTCTGCCTAAGTATAAAAATATTTCCTATTTATTTATTGATAACGATGAAGCCTAATGGTATCATATTTCGTCGGGTTACTGCCAAAACATTTTTTTTTTTTATTTTTGAGTTAAGTGCATGTCTAACATTAAAACTGTCTAAACTATGTACTAACAGCACCAGATAATTATATTAAACGTGGTATACGTTGATGCGCATGTGCACATAAAAGACTAAGTGCAATACAAGAATTATATTGGCAGCTTAAACAAGACAAATGCATTCATGTTGGTTTTTTTTGTGTCATCGGCTTCAACTACTAAGGTTATCTCGCTTCACGTTCTGTGAAGACTTTGTTACTGTTTCCCAGCGTCACTTTAGGAACAGCACTGTTAATTAGAACCCAACAGTGAATGGTCAAGTGATATGTTCGGTTTAAATATTATTTTAATTTTACGTACTCTAAATGCAAATGAAATTAAAATCACAAAAGTGTACAAAAGATGTAGGCCCATTTCGGTTAAGAAAAAACAAGACCAGCAGCTAAAGATTCTGATATAGAAGAGCAGGATAAATGAAACAAAAACAGGTACTTATACATCCAAAATAAGATAAGTGCACAAAAAAAGTGTTTTTTCTGGTAAATACTTTGGTAGTTTTATGATAAATTTTTTTACTGTTTAATATCCAATTGTATTAAAACTCAGTTCCTAAGTAAAGACGAAGTTTTTTTTATACCTTATTATTCCTCAAATGTTTAAACATTAATAACTCAAAACTATAAAAACGTAACTTATCTGTTTTTTGGCAGTAATCCGACGATTTGCAGCATACCAACAGTATCTCAAGTTTTTTTTTTTAATTTGTTAAAATTCATATTTATATAAGCCAGGTCTTCAAAATATTACCTTTTTAAAATTAAGGAAAAATTGTATTATTAAAAGGTATATTTTTAATTTTTTTTAGATTAAAAAATACATATTATCGTAAATATTTAAAAATTATAAAAATCACTATTATAGCATTCCATATTTCTATGATTTATGAAGCTACACAAAAATTTAAATAAATGGATGCATTCTAAAAACCTTTACCTAAAACTTATTTTAAACGCAAATTGAGAAAAAACTATTAAGGTTATATAAAATATTTCTAATTTCCACTAAAAAACAAAAAGAATGTTAGCAACAGAAAGACATTCTCTATTTGGTGAAATTATTTATGATCTCATCGCCGTTTTTCTTTTTACAAAAATAAAAAATCTCCCACATTAAACTTTTGCCAATTATGCCTGTTTTGTAAAAATAAAACATTCTCTGTCTTGTACTGTAAGAAATCGTAAAAAAAATGTGCAAAAACGCGTTCAAATTGTAAAAAACTATTTACCCTGTAAAATTAAAATAAAATAATTAAAATTTATGTATCAGAGATGTTCTGAATTTTGATCTAATAAAAATGTAGTTCATTTTACACTCATACAATAATCTAACGTTGTTGATTTACTTTTAAGTAAAACAGTTTAATAAATTTTAATCGTAATTGGACGAATTTTATTGGCTATTGATACAATTGGTTTAAAATGAGTTTCGGTTGGATCAAATAGCATTGTGCTTTTGGATGTGATATACGAATTTAGTAATGTAGAAGAGTTCAAACGGGCACAGTTAGATTTATTTTAGCATAGTGAGCCAGAGACTATGAAAAATTTTTAAAAAATGTTTATATCTGTTTTCCTTAAATAATTAAGATTTGAAAAAGGAATTGGGTACTTAAAAAAAATTAATGATAAGAGTTTTCTAGCTAAATTATTTTCTATCTACTTTCTAACTATATCATGCTAAAACGCGTGATTGGAATAGTAATTTGTGCAACAAAAGTGGATATGATGGCTATATCTCACATATTTCGACTGGATTCTGCAAAAAGTGGATAATATACATGTGGGTGTAGAAAAACTATTTTATATAAGCCTTTTAAATAAAAATGAACATAAGTCAAAAGTGGTATTAGTTTCAAGCACAATGGGCTATAGGCGTCTAACAAAAAGGAATGTTAAAAACAACTAATCAGATCTCAAACCACTGCGACACAATCAGTATTTGGTGCTTAATTAAGCATTTTTTTTTTTTAAACAAATTTTCGTCTACCTGTTCCAATTTTGTGCAGAGTTTAGTCTGCCAATCGTCCGGTGGTGGTATTTCCGGTATAAATACGTAATCGGCTTCAGAAGTTAAAGCCGCCACAAGGGCCAGATACCTACAAAATGTCAACTAAAATGTAGGTCTCAAAATGTTCCATGTATTTAGTAAATTTATAGTGAAATTAAAATAATGTAAACCTGATATTCCGAAAATTAACATACTCAATATATTTAAAGAAAATATTAAAAATAATTTATCAAAAATCAAAATAAATAAAATTAAATAGATATAAAGCAGTGAAGTTAATAGTAAAAAAATAGTTTGATGATTAAAACCGAATTTTATATAATCGAACGAAAAAAAAAAAATGAACAGTAGACAACAAAGTAGGTAATTATAAATCACTTAAAGCTTAAAATAATGTACTTACCCGCAATGCCTTCCCATAACCTCCATAATAAATGTGCGTTGATGAGAATAGGCAGTACTGACAATGGCATCAATTGCTTCAATAATTCTAAAAGAAATAACTAATGGTCGATATACAAAATAAAAAATAAATATTGAAGAGTAAAAAGTGATTTCAACTTTACACCTTGCAACATTTTTATTATTTCATATTTAATTGAATCAAATTGTGTCAGATGACAATATTTTAAATCCAAGAAGCCATATACCATTACTTTAGGAGCATTAACTACATAAGACCACCTTGTTTATAAATGATTTTAAAAATTAAATTAGAATCGACATAAAATTTAAATAAAACAAAAAATACGAATCTTTGAAAATAAATAAAATTAATTGAGAACAACATTAAAACACGAATAAAGAACAAAATAAAAAAATCGTTAAAATTAATTATCTGAAATTTTCGTGAATTTCCCACAAAATGTTACTGCCTTCTCTACTGTATAATCTGGAAAATGTTCGCCAATACCATCGTTTACGTTTTTTAATAAGTTATATTCCAGTTCCGAAAAATGATGTCATTTTGCAGAAATGTTGCTACAGCTGGGTAACTCCTGATTTATTTTTAAAGTACAAAAGAAAAACAAATACAATAATTTACCAAAAATTACCTTTATCCGAACACTCAAGAATAAAAACCCAAGCAGCAAGGTGCCGTCATTATGACGTGATTTTTTGGGATTTACTCGTCAGAAACGTCACTATCCCAATTAATGAGGTTACTTTGACGTCGTTTTTGCATCGTTAATTAGACGTCAATACAGACTCGTCATTATTACGTAATTTTTTAGTATCAATTTATCCGAAATACAATATCCTAATCAATAACGTGTATTTGATGTAGCATTGATGACATAGAATAGACGCCACTTAGAATTCGTCATATTACGTTATTTTTTTGTATATTTTAATACTTAAGTGTTGAATTATAAAGAACCTAATTGGAAATCTGCTTCAGCTGAAATATATTAAGTTTGTTCGAGCTTTAGTTTGTAAATTTTTTTGGTAAAATTACGGTGCCTTATGTTTTGATATGGATAATTAGTAACGTTCCGTTTTTAAGAAAAACAAAAATTCCAGTTATTTTTTGATCACACCTCATTTGTAACTGAACTATATACATTAAAAAAATTAAGGTTGTAAATTTGCATTCCAGAAATATCATGTCTTTACCGAATCAACAAATCAAAGTATTTAAGGATATATTTACTATTACATTAAAACATCTAGAATTCAAAGGAGTGGTTCCCAAAAATAAATGCTGTACGCCACTGTCTTAAATTACTCAACTATCAATTTACAGATACTATTTTTTAAATTATACATCAGACATCATTTAGAGGTCAAATTTACAAGGTTAAAGTGTCAATTAACTAAGTGAATGCTTCAAATCTCAATTAGACAGGACCAGTTTGTAAAAACAATTTATAAGACTTAACTATGGAGCAAAAATCCTTTTTAATTTTACATCAAACTACAATATACCCAGTCCAACATAGATTTGGCCCCTCCCCTACTTGAGTAGTTTGATAAGATTTATTTTTAAAAAATGAGGCTAAAATGTATTTTTTTCTAAGAGCCACCCTATACAGAACACAATATTCCAGCAAAAAAATATATTCACGTTCTTTTTTATTTTTGTTTATGGCAAAAGGGATGACGTAGAAAGAGTATACTATTTAATATGTCAAAAATTAGTTAAATCTAGCAAACTGCGTCTGATAATTGATGGGCCCAAACCTTACCTATGTAATGCACTGTCAGTACCAATGGTCATGTCGGTACCACAAAAATCATTATCGATAGATCCAACCAAACCGACGATCTTCAAATTTTTGTTCTTTTCGAAACCTTCTTTCGATATTCTACCGTCTTTGAGTAATTCGTCTAGAAGAGAGCCCCATTCTTGTCTAAATAAATCGGCGCCAGTAAGACTGCCATCGCCGCCAATGACCACGAGATTATTGATGCCCTTTTCAATTAGATTTTGGGCTGCCTTTAGGCGACCTTCCCTTTTCCTGAAAACAAAAATATTAAAATGACATGATCAAAAAAGTTAAATTGAAAGATTATAATCGAAGTTTTTTACTCTTTTTACAACTTTATTGTGTTCTCAAGTACTTTTTTTTATTAATATACATTAATATTTATACATATATACATTTTTTTATACAATATATTAAATGACTAATTTATTTTGAATCTAATATCAAGGTAGGCACTCAAGTTCATTTTGTAACAAGCGTTACAACAAATGTATCATAATTTTGAGATATAACTCCATTGATTTTCTAAACCAAATTATTGTTAACCTTGTTTTATGCAACTGCGTTATTTTAACAAACAATTTAGTCTATCGTCTACCAAGGGCAGAATATTCCAAATTATACGTACAATGTTTTGTTACAATTTTGAGTTATAAGTTGTAAAAATAGTGTCAGAGGCAGAGTATTGCATTAAAATACTCATGAGTAATTCATAATGAGTAGAGAGAAGAAAACATTTATAGAACAATTGATATAGATACCAGTGAATTTGGTGACATCTAACTGATGCAAGTAGTTCTTTTTTAGTAGAAATTTATTTTGTGACAAATCGAGGATGAGATGCAAATGCCTCTACTAGTTATTTAGGGTCTTTAATATTTATACAGTGAGCACCATAAGTCTTACCCCCCCTATCTAACTCGTTACTGGAGTCTTGTTGGGAAAATCGCCGAGACACGTCGATTTTTGATTTCTACAATGTACATTTTTGTATGAATAGTTTACCCTTAATTTCATGCCTTACTGGAGGGGAGTAACCCTTTCGGAAAATTTAAATGGCATTGGGTGGTGATTGATAGCTCATTTGAAAGAGGGTTTTATTCTCTATTCAACCGTGTAAAAAAAATAAAATTTGCTTCATTAATTATCGACTAATTGTTGTTTCAGAATAACGGAAATTAACGTAGCGCACTCATCCTTAGAATTAAAATTCGCCCATGCATGATTTCGGTTTTGGTTCAGACGTGAAGTAAGACTTTTTGCCATTAGAAAGTCACTGTTAGTCTAGTTGCTTTCCTATTTTGTGAGGTTTTGTTATTTTTAAACATTAATAAACCAATACGTAATGAAGCAAATTTTTTTGCACGGTTGAATAGAGAATAAAACCCCCTTTCAAATGAGCTATCACTCACCACCCCATGCCATTTAAATTTTTCGAAAGGGTTGCTACCCTAAAGTAAGGGATGAAATTAAGGGTAAACTAATCATACAAAAATGTACATTGTAGAAATCAAAAATCGACCTGTCTCGGCGATTTTCCTAACAAGACCCCAGTAACGAGTTAGGGGGGGGTAAGACTTATGATGCTCACTGTATAGTCTTTATAAATGAGGAGAAATGTTTGAGGAATAAGGTATGCTTCATGTTAGAGGCAAAAGTAATACAGTATAAATCAGTGTAGTAGAATAAAAATGGCAATCAAGTAATCATTATTCAGATCTAAAATCAGTACAAAACCACAAGCTTTATCTTCAAAAATTTACAGGTATCCTCTATACCAGCTAACAGTAAATTATCTACGATTTAAAAGTCTAGACTATACAAGAATACAAATAAAATTAACTATCGATCAAAATCAATTTAATCTGTATTTGTATAAAATATATTGAGAGACACAACAAAAAATACTGTACCAAAGGCTATCTAGAATTCGACATTAAACAATACACAAAAGTAAATAACCTTAATAAAAAATATCTCTTTAATTTCTCTTGCATTTGTGATAAATTTTTTTTTTTCAATTATACATCCTTATGAATTGTTTTTCGAACTGATACCGGGTCAATAAAACATCCTTTATTGATTTTAAATCCAATAAAATTCTGAATCATTCATATGAAAAAGGAATCATCAATAATTAATAGAAGCAATAAATAAAAATATGAAAATTAATTGACTTTAACAAGTGTATACTTGAATTATTAATATCATTTATTTGTATTGATTTAGATTTCTGTTAAAAAACAAACCAAAGTATTTATCTATTTAAGAATTTTGTCTTCATTTATTTTTAGTGCTTTGCTATTTAAAATTTTTTTATTGTCAATGATTTATCTAAAATTTTATGTACAATATAGTTTATAAAGGATGTCACCAAATTTTAATCAAATCAATTCTAAACTAAGCCATTTGTAAGCAGACTATGAGTTCCCCAAGGTTTCCAATTGGAACCTCTTCTTTTTATTATGTTTATCATGTTTAAATAAATCAAATAATTAAACTTACAACTTGTATTATAGACAGAAAATATATTCAAAGCAAAAAATATTATGTATTGCTTTTGTTAAAATATTTAAATCAATGTGTGATTAACATCAAGAGTAAAAAATTCTAGATAAGGACATACTGGATATGCATTATTCATTGTAAACAAAATCTGTTTATAATTTTTATCAGTAAGGATAAAAATTTATTGATTCATCCTTATCAAAAATGATGAATAACTTTTTTACACACCAGTGCAAATATTGAAAATATGATTACCTTAAATTTATGTGTATGGTTTCAATAGTAAAAAATTACCAACAAAATATTAGACCAGTTAAAATAATTAAAAGGCAAATTTCTTATTATTATCCTAATTGGGCCATGTTATATACAATAACATTTTTCCTAGTAATAGCTGCTAAAATTTATAGTAAAATGCATATTAATGTGAAATAATGGTATTTCGTATTGGCAAAATAAAATGTAACTTACTTGAAATCCATACATCTAGCAGAACCAATGATAGTACCACCTTTGTGTATTATACAACTAACAGATGACCAGTTTGCTTCTACTATGTGTTCACCTCCATCGACCATTCCTACAAAAAAAGTAAAAAGATATCAAAGATGAAACATTTACATATATATGTTTTACAGAAAAAGCCTTTATGTATTATTTTTTCACTTTAATTTATATTGGCCTGTCCAAAATTGTGCAACGTTTCTTAAATGCAGTATTAAAATCTCTTATTTTTATCATAGGACTTGTAAACAAACAACATTTAGAATTATAAATTATCTTTTAGTTTGTTGTATACCCAAAAAAAAATATGGGAATGTCTGCAGGAAATGTGTTATGAAGACCCCAGGATGATTCAAAATCACAAGACCAGTGAAAAAAACAAAAGTTTACCCCCATTATAAAGAGACTTTGGGTTTTCTATGCAAACCTAGATGGTGAAATTTAATAGTTAGCTTTCCTACTGGTGAATTGTCATTGTTCGTTAGCTAAAGGGGGTACCTATACTAGCCACCCATTTTACTAGGTTTTAACCATAAAGTATATGTATGTGAACATCAACATAGTAAGTTAACCAAGTGGCGAATTTGCTCTGTTCATTAACTCCTTTGGTCATAAAATAAAATTTCAGATTTAAGCAAAAATCAAAAGGCTATGGGTGTGGGAAGTTACACTCTAAGGAACAACCCTCCCAAATAAAATATTTAGACTGCATGTTTAAAAATTGAAAATAATTGTTTATTGAAAACAGATAGTACTTTGACAGTAAGTAGGTACACATATGTTAATTGGTACAACACATTTGTTTTAAGAAAACAGAAATTAAATAAAAATTTTGATGCTTGAATGCATGAGTAACAACTGATTGTAATCCTTATATTATCATTTTATTATATATTTAAATGATTCTCAAGGACACTTCTATATAAAAAAAATCTATAAACGAAATATAATTTATTTATGTACCTAACATTAAAAATACTTGAACCTTATTGAAAAAATGTAATACTTGAAATTTCATTAATTTATGAATAAATAGTGTAGATTGGAATCAAAATTTTAAATCTGTAACATTTTTATAACTTTAAATAATTATATTTCAATTCTGGCACCTAAGTAAAGGACACCTCCAAATTTTTTATCCATTCAATGAATTTTGGCTACTTAAAGATAATTTTTATTTTATTCTATAGAGCTTATAAGTTGATCCAATTTTGAAAAATTAATAATTTACTTGCTTTGATAAATTTTACAGGATTCTGCAAGTTTGATATAAATGGGAAGTGAATTGGTAACATTTCAGTCCCAATTTGTGCAGTTTATAAATAATTCACTATATGGTCTAGGAATTTTAATCAATATATATTTAATAAACTAGTGTTATACCCATGATTTGGTTTTTCTTAATCGTGCTCTGATTTAGGAATTTTAATTAAAGACTGTCTCTAAAAAAACATGTCCAAAAATGCCAGAATTTTGTTAACTGTTGCATTTACCAGCACAAATCAAAATTTGTTACAAAAGTAACAGAAATATTCACTATCAAATATAGAGCATTTCATGGTCTATTAGCACTGGTATGTTTTTTGTTTCCTGAAAAAAGCTGATTTGGGTAAAAGTCTTCAATTGATATATTGGAGAATTTTTTTAGTGTTATACCCATGGTATATTTGTTTTTCCTTAAATTTATGCTTTTGAATAAATAAAAACAACTTTCTATCAAATCATTTGAATATTCAATATTAACTTCACGCCTTATTGAAATACTTTATATAAACCAGTCTAAAGCAAATTAAAAATTTGCAATACCTTGGCAAACATTGCCCATTTTTTTTTAAATATCAGGTTGTATATTAAGGTCATGTCATACCAGATCAAATTCTTTTCATAAATCAATTAATTGTGCAATATTGTACCTTGATATCCTTCTCTGATGAAATAAACTTTGCATCCTAGGTATAGTCCCACACGTACCACAGCCCTAACGGCTGCATTCATACCCTAAAAAATAGAATCATGTAAGTAACATTTTGGGAAAGATTTTAATTTTTTCTCTCACCTGAGCATCACCTCCACTTGTGAATACTGCGAGGCCCTTGTCTTTGTATATGCCCCTTTCTATGAATTTTGTAGTAGCAGTAGCGCTCACTCTTGGTATCATTTTTACCTATAAAAATACACAAAATTTAAAAAAAAATTAGTAACTTCAAATTTTTGACTTTTGACTCGGCCGCAATCACATTATTAAGTAACACACTCGTCACACCAAACAAACTTGTAGCCAAAAAAAACTATTAAGATATAAACAGAAAACGTAAACAACTACTTACTGATTCTTCCTAATCTCAATGAAAGAACCTTGCTACAACAAAAATTTAATTTACACTACTTCTTCAGATGCAAAGGTTTCCCTATTTTCAAGGTGACCTCTGATCTTGCCCTGCCAAAACTAAATTGTACGTTCTCATTGGGCAAAATTAGGTGCATAAATCTCCACCCCAATCAAAATTCGACTTCGTCCACGTGATTGTCAGCACGAATTCATCTGAGCAACCGGCAATTACTTCAAATACAAAATAAAAATAATGTATACAAAATTAATTTTATCTAAAGGATAAATACTTGTTAAGAGCAGGATTATATATTAAATTTGCTTATATAAAATATCGAATTACCCTTATATAAGTATTTAGGTGACGTTTGACAGATGGATCAATAACAGGTTGGCGTTTATGAGTGACAATTCGGGGTCATTTTAACTACTAAATTTTAATAAAAAGCAAGCAGAGAACCTTGTAGGTATACAACCATCATTACACGATAAAAACCAGTGGTGGACTGTGCTTTTTCTGGGCCCAATTTAAAGTTTTATATTTTAGAAAACATTTTAAAAATTGCGCAAAATTATATTTTTAAATATTCGTTTACGAATTAATATGCTAGGTGTCCCAAAATATGTGTACTACCTCACGGACTCGAGAGAATACATGTACATATTTTCTCCTAGATTAAAACAGTTAAAAGCAAGCCATGTGAAGCGAACCAGAAATCAGGAATCTGTCTCTTGGTTATTCGTAGTTTGCATTATGTTATAAGTAGGTATACTCTATATATAAACTAAATGGACATGTATCCTCTGAAACAAATACACTATTGTTTATTTAAGGCCTCTATTTGCACAATGAATAACTATTTTTTACCTTATTGGTATAGAAATTACCATTCGATTCTTTTAATTTGATAATATGAAAAAAAAAAAAAATCTTAACGAATTTAAATTAAAATATAATAAATTTAAATTACACGTCAATCCATAAAGGGCACATCCGTAATCCAGTAAAGAACGTATATAAGATTTATAAAATAACCCAACAAACATTTTTTTTACAATTAACGGCCTACGTCACTTCAAGTAGTAGCCTTTCGGTGGAGGTCTGCAATTGTTAAGTTTACTATTTGTCAAAACGGGCAACAGAAAATCGTCGTCTTTTTACCAGCAATATGTAGTAAAAGGCCTGCACATGGCCAGCAGTTTCCCCATAATATTAATGTTAACTCTTCTTTAATGGACTTGCATAAAGCTCGTAACTTTACCAGGCATAAGTAGTGAAAGGCCTGCACATGGTCAACAGTTTCCCGCAATATTATTGTTAACTTTCCATCAAAAGGCTCGCATAATAAGGCTCTTATAAAAATGATGCTGATCGTTTATAGAGAATGTACCAAGTCTTTTTTGCGTTCTAAAACTTACCATACCATACTAATATGTTCTTAAATTGTTTCTTCTAAACATGACATATTAATAAAATACTTAATTAATCACTATTTTGTGACAATATGGCTTCGAGAATTTAGTTTTCTATTTTATTTTACGTCTGGGTCACTTTACAATCCATTAGTCAATATAGAATGGGCAACATCAAATTCACTGTTCGCCCATGTACATTTCGAAAATATTTCGACCGATCGACAATCGTAGGGCCACCGTTGTTACTTGAAATGTCAGCGTAACGATAGATGATTACCCATATGAACCATAAATTAAAAAATCCTCGGTTTATCCTTCTTTAAACAGTGCGTGTCGTATGGCTGGCTGAATTTTTAGCAGTGGTATTACTTCCTCTTACTGGAAATCATTTATCCCATCCTCGAATATGTGTGTAAAAAATAATAAACGTTTTCGAAGAACTTCTTTGATTTTCCAGACCCTAATTTACACTTTATTACTTTTTATAAACCTTCCATTTTAATTTACAATGCATTACTAACTTTTTATAAAAAAAAACACTCAAATAACAATAAAAATATTTATTAACAATAATGTACAATTTATTACAAACAAAACAAATAAAAATGTTAAATGATTAACTTAAAAATATGTACACACTTGAGAGAGAAAAATCAAATGGTTTTAGTCACTTTACACAGCCTTAACGATTTGCGGAGCACCTTCATCAACGATCTTAGCTCTTGTTGCTTGGTAAGCGTCACGTTCTTTGTCAGGATGCTTTGTAGGAAGAATCGGGGAGTGAATGTTGGCTTTCGCGGAATACCTATAAATAAAAATAGGTTAATTTCCATTTTTTTAACCTATCTACTAACTTACTTAATACCAGCGACGTCAATTTGAAAATCTCCATTATTAATGAAGTCGGTTGTAACTTGCTGTCTATTACCATTCTGATCGTAGTCTTCAACAAATCCAAGGCACACCTACAAAAAGAATTTGTAATTTGTAAACGCCACGATGGATTACAGTTTCATCTCTCCGAATAAATAAAAAGGCCGTCAGAAGGTCGTTAGATAGTGTATCAATTTAAAACAAACTAGTGTTCTCGTTCTCCCAATGGTCGAAATTCGACCATACTCTTTATTGGAAATTTTAGGAAAACATATATGTATTTACATGTCTCGAACATTTATTTTTCAACTCTTATATATTCTCTTTATTGTATATTTATCTGAGACCATAAACTTTTATAAGTATTTACAATATAGTTCAGTATCATTATAATTAAATAAAAAATAAATTCAATAAAATAACAGTAAATCACAATATAAAAACCCTTTATTGTAAATGGAGAAGAATTTGGCAAGATTGGTTCAAAGAATACGAATATTTTCTGTTATTAATCTACTTTTTATTTGGTAACTTTTTTACAATTTTTCAACTTCATATCACTAACGAAAAAATTATTACAACTTTTATTCTTTTTGATATGTAGGATGAGTTTTCAGTTTCAACACCCTCATTTATTGAAACCACAATCGTCATTTGTTGATGATAAAATAATAATAATAATAAAGTAATAAAAATATACCGAAAATTAGAAAAACAACCACCTATAAAGTACCCTCAGTTGGTGTATGCATAAAATCTAATTATCAAAATCTAAGGACTCTTTTTCCCTTAGATTACTCTGAGCTTTTTCCAGAAAATTAAGCGATTTTCAGCTTCAAAGGCTTTATAAATATATTCGTCTGATGAATAAGATTTCGAGGAAGTTCCTTATATGGAATCAGAAGATGTGTATCAGTGGACATTTTCGAGCGACCCATTACTATTTAAAACACATTTAAATTAAAGAGCCCACAGATTTAATACCACGCGACCCCACTCTTCGACAATTAAACAGACAGACATGAGACATGATTCAATAAAAAGAAGGTATGATATTGCAAAGATTGATATTACGTCACGGTGACACATGGTAGTATGAAGGCGTGGCTTTTACGAACTTGAAGTATCAGCTGATCGAAAACAGCACCGAAAATAAATGTTATTCTGCTTATGGCCAATCACAGCCATATTCCACGGCTAACTATCAAACCTCTGTAATGTTTTGTATAATGGACATGATTATATTAACCTGTCAAATGATTCATCAATCAACTAATGACCAGAGCTTGAAGTTGGATATACGTTGATATTGAAACATGAACCATTTTATGCTCCATCTATCTGTTTAATGGTCAAAGGGTACACCATAAACTAACGAACTCTGACGGATTTTTTAGAACTATAGTCATGTTAAGGACATGTTTTCGTTTTCTATAAGAGATTTGATCGTAATTGAAGACCTATAATAATAGTCATTTTTCTTGATAAACACACAGCTGATGCTTGACAATTATGACAGAAATGACATATGATGGATGACCAGGGTTGCCACTTATAGTTCTTTAACACTGTTGATGGTGTTTTCTGCAAGAAAATAGTGTCAATTTCTATCAAAAATTGCCATGTCATAAGTGCGGTGTGCTTCTCATATATGAGGTGCTTTTTACAGCACTTTTTATGAATTTAATTTTGTGATAGATAACAGGTCTGTAAAAATAAAGAAAATAACTCTGTTAGTGGTACATTAATGGTCTATGGTTAACAGTTAAACAGTTCTGTGATCTGTTATTTCTATGTTAATATATTCTTGACATCCAACTACTGGAAGCCAAAATTAAAGAATCTGTTGTTTCTTAGAGAATTTATTATATTTTAAAATGTTTGTATTGATTGGTAGAATTTGGTGTTTACTTCTTTATAACCAAAATTTTGATTCAAATAATTTAAAAAATCCCGCCCATATGTTTATGTAAATTTAGGATTTTGGCGATAAATTTCAATTTCGCTATTAATCGATAAGTAGTGGTTTTTCGCGTGAGGACACGACTTCTAGCACATGACCGATTTGTTTTAATAAAAGGTGAGATTTTTACCTGTTTTTTGAAAGTAAATCCATAACCAGTGGTCGTAGTCAATCCAACGTATTTCCCATTTCTATAAATCGGTTCTCCACCCCAAGGCCATAAATCCGTTTCCATATCATGATCCTCTAAAATTAACTGCAGATACATCCTCTTTACACCTTCCTCTCGTTGTTTTAACAGAGCGTCTCTTCCAATAAAATCGACCTTTTTCTATAACACGAAATTTAGATTGTTAGTTAAATATTGAGGTATGAGTGACAAGTAGTAGTTGACAACTTACATCAAATTTGACTCTCCACACTCGTCCACATTCCAACGGAGTGGTAGTAGTGTCCAGATCTTGTCCCCAAAACGCGTAGAACTTCTCAACTCTAAGAGCTCTTGTGGCGTAATGACCAGCGTGGGTAATTCCATATTTTTCACCAGCTTGAATCAGACTTGAATATACATGTAAGGCGAACTATAGAAAAAAGACATTTAAAACCTATAATTCAATGTATGTATTATTACTAACCTCGTTTGGTATGTACATCACATAACCTAATTCTCCAGTATGTGTGAGATTCATAGTCCTAATGCCATTGGCCAACCCAACGTCTAACATCTTAAACGTAAAGAACGGGAAATTTCTGGGATTCAAATCCGTATCAGTCAATTCGGACAGCAATTGTCTCGTGAAAGGGCCCATAATGCACAGCGCGGTGAACATACTAGTGACGTCGGACATGGTGACGGTCGGAGGAAGATGATTCTGAAGCCACACTTTGCACCTCGTTTGTTGGATGGTCGGTGCAATCATCATGTAACTAAAAAATTAATATTTCTACACCTAAAGAAGTAATGACCAAATCGTTGACTTGACAAGGCCAAGTGAGTTCCGAAAACATTATCACTGAACGGATCATTTACCAGTATGGATCAAGGACTACCTACGAAAGATTAACCTGATAATCAAAAAATGAGGAAACTATACCTAAATACACTAAAACAATACTGCGAGAATTGATCTGAAAAATATTAATCTAAAGTATGTTCAAAAAAAAACCCTCCTATCGCATCCAGGACAAATTGAAGACAGACAAAAAACTAATCTAAACCAATTTTTCTTTGGTTTGTTTTCACTTTGGGGATATGAGGGTGTAATTTTCATAATTTCGTAGGAGGCATTAAAGATTTTTAATTTTCAGAATTTCCAAATTTGCATATATTGTACACCCTAGGTCCCATGAATAAATGTACATACACCCGTCTATTGAGAAGGTAAATTAAATAATTAAACTACAAATAGACCAAGAGAAAGTTGTCAATCAATACTGAAAGTAATAATGCCACAATCTTATACAAACACTAAGAAAGTTACCCGTTTTCTTTCACATTAGAATTAAATAAGTCCAATATAAAAACGAGATTTTTGAACTGCCAAATGTGCATAGTAATATTTTCTTATTTATAAGTATAAAAATATCCCAGTGCTATTCTGTATCTGGTTTTAACAGCAACTACAAGGATTTATTTTTACTTACTGGTTTTCAGATATCCTTGCTAAAGAACAATCATTTTCGTAACCACCATGTCGATTCTGCATACCGGTATGGATTATACTACCTACAGGTACATCTACGTCGTTTGAGCATACAAACTGCAGGGCATCAACGATTTCATTTCCCTTGGACTGAAAGAAAACATCCGTAACTTGATTTACAATTTAAATCCTATAAAATTTTAAGCAAATTCAAATATATTTGACAGTTCACGTAATGTCAAATGTCATTCACGTTAAATGTCAATCAATTTCTTTAATTTCAACGCCTGCTAGATGCTATGTAATAATATTGCTTACCCATAGGTCTATTTTTGTAAAAGAGGAATAATCACTTATTCCTACGCTTTCTCGGCAAGCTTGATATTCTTTAGCTACAAAATCGAACCAAGGCGGTTTACCAAAGGTGTTTGTATAAGCCATTCTGTAAGGCGTCGACCAATCTTGAGCATCTTGATCTAAAAATAGTTAATACGATAATATACAAGAACATATTATTTTAATTCTTTATTCGTCAAAACTACTGACTTACCTACACCTACATGTGCTGGATCAAACCATGTAGGCCGTTCATAGCCCATAACCTGACCGAAAACGGCTCCAGCTTCTCGTAATTTTGGATAAACTGGAGACATTCGAAGATTCCTACCTAAATATTTTATTAATACATAAAAATGTTAGTTTTTAAAGAAATTAAGCTAAACTAACATTTAAAGTGACATATACGTTTATTTAATATTGACAGTTGACGTATAGTACATTTTTACCTGTCTGAAATTCATGGAATGGATATATCAGTCCGTAATGCAACCCAGGCACTTCTTTGACTCTATCTCTCAAAAATTTACGGTTATTATGCAACCCTAAAAACCTCGAAACTTCTAATTCATACATATCGAAATCCGTGTCTCCATTTACTATTATTTCGGCGGTGGCTTTACCTACACCCCCAGCTGCAGCTATGCCTACAGTTTTCATTCCAGCAGCTATCAAATAATTCCTTATCTAAAAAGTAGAAATTTAAGTCTTATTGTTTTGTTCGATTTTCGTTATTTACTTCCGGAGCTTCGCCGACAATCCATTTACAGTCAGGGCTGAAGGCTTCAGGTCCGTTGCAAAGTTTGTCGAGTACAGCATTGCCCAAACTTGGTACTCTATGAATAAGTTGTTCTAGCAAAACGTGGAAATGGTCCCAGTCTTCTGGTAGCTGACGCTCCTTACTGCTTGCTAGATATTATTTTATATTTATTATGGGCATTGTCAGTGTTATAATTAATCAAAAAACAACAATAAACAATTGTGGGGTATATTCTGTATGGTTCTAAAACTTTACAAACATATATAAAGGCCAAAACTAGAATTCGTTCAAACATTATGATATCCACATTTTACCAAGGGCAGTCAGATGCTAAAAATAATTCAAAGAAGGGTCACTACAATTCCTCCGAGTTTGCAGAGCATGGACTACATAGACTACTTTAGGAGAAAGACGCTGTGCGAACGTAATTGATTGAATACTGTCTATATCAAAGAGCGGTCGGCATGTTAAAAATGTTTTCTTATAATCACATTATTTTCTAGTTCAAGTTCGACTAAATAATTTGATTTATTAGGCAATTACAAACACTGTATGTGCCTGTTTATAGAATAACCCAAACTTTTAACAGCTTCGTTCCAATAACTCTTAGATTAACTAACTTACATAACGATCTTAAGCTGTTTTACATTCCCTTTTCATCATTTTGAACTAAATCACTTAATACTGAGCTTAAATAATGTTTTTACTGTGTATTTTTTTAAACCTTCAAGGTGGACTCGTCGATATTTTTCATGTGAAAACATCTTTATATCAAGCACAACCAGACATTTGCGGGGCAGGTGCAGAAGGTTACACAGAAAACACTTTTTAACAAATAGAGTGATGTACACCTGGAACGATTTACAGGAGGACCCTGTAGCAGCTGCTAATGTTAACCAATTCGAGACAACAATTGACAGGGAACTAAGTAAAGTAAAATCTAGACTTGTCCACTACAGTTTATGTAAAATCAAATTAAATTTCCTGTAATTTATTGTGATAATTGAAAGGAAAGTTTCTTTAATACTCAGAAATTAAACACAGCTTCTTCTTCTTCTTCTTCTTCTTCTTCTTCTTCTTCTTCTTCTTCTTCTTGTACTCTATGCAATTCAGAAAGATATTTATTTCCATCTGATTCTTCCTGCATAAATTTTAAAACAAAATTTAAAATTTCATGAGCTTGTGAACCCAGGATGTGATCTCAAAATGCATGCCAAATCCCCTTGAAAAATCAGAACGAAATGACCTGTCGTAAGGTATTCAGAAAAGATATTACTTACCTGGAATAGTTCCATCTTCAAAAGCAGGTTTTGCAAGTGGTTCAAATCCACCAGCTAGTAATCGTCCTTTATTTTCCCTCAAGTATATGTATCCATCTTGATCCCTTAACACTATTTAAAAAATATATACAATAAATGTAAGCAAATATAAAATCCTTTACTATAGTCAGATGGGAAAAAAATACAATTTTTACCTGGTAACATCGCATCCAATGATGGTATAGGTTTGGTATGGAGATAATAATGTTCAACTGCATGAAGAGGAACTTTGACATAAGGTTCCGATAATTGTCCAACTCCTCTAGCCCAAAACCCGGCGCAATTGACAAAATATTCGCACTTTATACTCCCTTGATCAGTTTCAACACCCGTGACTTTTTGATTGGTCTGATGGATCTTCTTTAAAGTGCAATTTTCTATGACTTGGACACCTAGATTAAAATGTGAAATCTATTCAGACTCTATTCAAATAAAGACAATGACGCAAATTGAAAATATTGATAATAGAAGGTGTTTAAAAGTACCCATTCGTTTAGCTTCAGAAATAATCGACAAACACGTTTCGTATGGATCGCCGACACCATCTCCAGGTATCCAGAGTCCACCAAGAAGATCTGTGGTGTTCAACAATGGCCATTTTTCTTTGCATTGATCAGGCGTTAAAATTGCACAATCAATATGCCAAGACCTATTATTAAAACAAGAAAAAATATAAAACAAAGAACACTTCTAATAGAAAAGATCTTACACAGCTTGTGCTCTCATTCTTCTGAATATGGTCATTCTGTCTCTGGTTCTTGCTACGTTCAGACTGCCACATTGTTTCCATCCTGTTGACAGGCCTTGTTTCTCCAATTCTTCATACAGGGCAACACTATATTTGGTTAATTTAACTTGAGCAAGGCTGGGTTTGAAAACGCCTATAAGACCTGATGCGTGCCACGTTGTGCCTCCTCCAACCCTGAAATAGGTTTCATTATTTTAATTTTAATAAAACAGAAAATAGAAAAATATTCATAAACAAAATAAAACTATGTATGCTCTGTTTTATTTATTTTTGGGCAAGCCCATTTAAATTGCAAATACAATATGTATGCTGTAGCACATTTAAAACAATATCGTAGGTTAGTTGAAGGTTTAAAAAATACACACTTAAAAACATTAACATTAAAGTAATTTAATTCAAAATGATATAAAGAGAATGTTAAACAGCCTAAGATCGTTATGTAAGTTAGTTAATCTAAGGGTTATTGGAACGCAGCTGTTAAAAGTTTGAATTATTCTATAAACAGACACATAAAACGTTTGTAATTGCCTAATAAATCAAATTATTTAATCGAACTTGAACTAGAAAATAATGTGATTATAAAAAATTTTTTGACATGTTGAATGTTCTTAATATCAGATAATCAAACTTTAGAGATAAATTTAATTGGAAAACAGAACCACAGAACTCTTTTATTTCTTTAAACATGAAACGACCAAAAATTATTATAAATAAAACAAAAGAACAAACAATTTTCTTTTTATCTTAGGCAAAAAGCCACCGAGTAAAAAAGAGAGTCAGCTGATTAGTGCCTAAATATTAAATGTTTTTGATTATTTGCTGGACAATAATGACATTTTGCTGGATCTACAAGATCAAATGCTGGATATACTTTAAAAATTATGTACACTACAGTGAAATGCTACATGTATGGTCATCATACATTAATAGATAAGTTAAATAGGAAGGGTCCTAGATGTGACCCTTGAGGAACACCCCAGGTTACTTGAAATACCCCACCCAGACCATATAAATTTAAGCTTTTAAGGTGAGAGTATGGTTAAGTCAAAGGCCTTGAAAAAGTCAGTGAAAAAAAATCTCCAGGTCAACTGTATATTGGCTTTTGATGATTAAATAAATATATAATAACTAATTAAAATTCTTTATTATGAACGGCATTTAAATTAATTTTTTTAGAAATATGCAACCCACAATACACTTTCGTGTAAATAGTATTGCATACACACATCACACTTCAAATACTCGAGATTCCACAATTTTTAAAATTGCTGATTGGTGATTAGATATTATTTATACCTTTAAAATTCACATTATCTGAATTGAAACATAGAAATTAAGATTTTTTTTTAATATACAATTCGTTTAGACGTACCTGCTTTGTTCAATTAATACTGTATCTTTTCCCCATCCGAGTTTGGCTAAATGGTAGGCCACAGAGGCCCCCATTACCCCTCCACCACATATCACAACACGGGTATCCTTCGGAAAATTCTGAGCAACTTCAACGTTTAAATTTTCGCTGAGAAACCTACAGGAACTGTGGCCTTTATTGATAACACTCCGACAACGCGAAAGCATTTTCAAATGATAATTTATCGTATTTTTATTCTGTAAATTTAATACTACACACTATTTTTGGAATGTATTAACATTTTTGTAAGGTTTCACAGGAAATTGCATGTTATTCAAGATCTTTGATGTTTATTTTGATATTTTGACAACGAAATGTTGACATTTATAGAATATGTAAGGTTATGGTATTCCTCTTTGTATTTTTTTAGGAGACCTTGTTAGAATGGGTAATTTAGTTCAAAAAGGAAGAAGCATGGGCGTACGCAAGAATTTTTCCAAGGGCAGGAAAATATTATATTTTCAGTAAAATACCCAAATAATAGAAGCTAGCACAACAATTGAAATAAATAAACTTTTTTTAATGTAATCTTTATCAAGAAGAGGACTCAGATATATTTATTCATAAATAATTATAGTCCTATATAGTTATTGTATAATAACTTTTATATTTTTATACTTTTCACTCAATTTATTTCGTTTTAATGAGAACATAATTCTAATTAGAATCAATCTATTAAATGTGAAAAGTATTTAACCTACATTGGAATAATTGTTTGAATTTAATAAAAGAAAACAATTTTATAAAAAAATACAAATATCCATTTCTAAAGTCTAAATGTTGAAGACAGAGCAACTTTAAAGTGAAACACAATCAATATACATGGTGTGAATTTGAAAACTTACCACCCGTAATATGTTTCTTCTAGTAAATAATGTGAAAATTCGGAAAGATGTGTCAATTTTAATTTCCAGGGGACCAATGAATATTTTTAGCTCTCGTTGGAAAGGGGGTCAAGTGGCACATCAGTTTAAAGGTAATTTGTAGAGTTCCGCAGTATGACTATTGCGTTAGGTTACTTTTGATTTTAACCCCCTTTAGGAAGATACAAAAATTGGTTATGGCTGATTAGGGCAAGCCGAAAAACTTTTTCTCGAAATTGAGTTTACACTACTGTGGAAACGAAAATAAGGTACAGAAAAATCAGCCTTCTAAGTCAAAAGGGGGTCAAAATCGGATGGGTTGGGGTGGAACTCGATGTGCAGACACCTTCACGGGGTGAGTTCTGGATTGACTTAGTTTTTTTTAGAAGACTCACATGGTACATTCCTTTTAAAAGCTCGGCATTTTTTTTATAAGAGCCTTATGCAAGCCCTTGCTGGGAAGTTAATAAATATGAGAAACTGATGGCCATGTATAGGCCTTTCAATACTTATTGCTGGTAAAGTGACGACGACCTTCTGTCGCTCGTTGTGACAAAAAGTCGACTTATCGAAAGGCCACTACTTGAAGTAACGTACATACGTTTAAAGGCCGTTAACCTGATAAAACAAAATATTTGTTTGGAATCTAAAATCCATGGTGTCGGCTAAATGTTATTCGATTAAATTTATATTTTATTTATATGAGTACTTAGAGTCACTTTAAGCATACTTTTCTTAGTACCTAGTGCAAATTTAATTTGGCCAAAAAAAAATTGAGCAAGGGTATTTAATTTTTAACAGAGTCAATATTATAGTCATTCACAGTCTTCTATAAGAGGGTGTCAATATTATTAAAAATATCTAGGTGTACCTGATGATGATGTATAACTACATCGAAACCAGTCGTTGATTAAATAACTCCCTCACTTTTCTACAAATTTCAAATCAATATAAATTATTCATTAATATTTTAATGGAAACATAATGGATTAACGATTATTGTAATTTTTCAATTGATTGAACACATTTGATTAGACTTCAGCAAATAGAAAAATGACATCGTAGGTATATATATTTATAGAAAACGTATTTGATAACATTAAACTAATAGAGATTATCTGTAATGAGTTGTAATTTAAAGCAATTTCCGTATATCATACATTACAATCAACCGAAATTATTATATAGTCGGTATGTTGAGATGGTAAATAGAGATAAAATGGTAAAAATCTGAATTAACAGTAGTAGTAGACGAAAGTTGATGTATAGATTAATATTATACAGTTGCTTCTGGTTGTTTGTTTTATCAACAAATTTTATTGTAAAAATTAAAACTGATAATTTATTTGGTACCCAGGTAATAAGGAGAGATTAAAATTAATTATTGTATTATTAGTAGTTAGGCTTTCTAAATCTAATCAAATCAAAATAACCCGACTCCATCCCCAGCTAGCACATAAACATCCCATCTAAGTTAATGTGCTAAACTTTTAGAATGTAAAAATAAGGGACTAATAGTTCTTGCCGATTATTCACATTTCTTTAAATACGGCCTAAACATGGCGGACTATGAGCCACATATCAAGAACTACCTGTATATAGATCTCAGCTATTTTGTTTCAGTGACACAACAGAAACTAACGGCCATTTTTTCAAGCGAGATAGGCCCTTATAGCCACACGGCCAATCCTTTCCTATAATTTACGTAACTAACTATATGAATGTTCTGCTTGGTGGAGGGGCTTAGTAGTCAGATAGGTTCCTTAGAGAAATGCGAAGCTTAAATCATAGGTACTCTTGCCATCTGATGTATGTTCAAAAATGAGCAATTAATCCAAGAGGAAAGGCGTACATTCAGTCTACACATGGTGCAGCTGATATTACTTAAAGAGTTGTAACATAAAGTATTAGGGTTCATTAAAGTTAAAGTAGAAGATTGCTTTAGTTTCCTTAGATCTTACCGATTCTGCGTTCTCTTATGCGTTCCAAATGAGTTTGGTCTTTACTTGTAGCTTCATCAGTATTTTGAAGGCATTTCACATAATATGGATACTCACTATCTGGTTTTGTTTGAATTGTTACCATATTCTTTACAAACTCCGTATTCTTGAAATTAGTAATTTAACTTCCTTGTACCAATTTAGAAGAAGTGTGAACACGTAGTCGTTCACAATCGTGGATTATTCATAAAAAATAAACTATTTAATCATATCTACAATATGCTATGAAATAACTATACCCATTGTTTATTAACAATTAAAAATTAATTATGATAAAAATAAAATGTTTAATCATTAAAAGTCTACAAAAAGTATGCAATAAATTATGCACAGCGGAAACGTCTTAAAAAATAGTAAACCAGACTTTATGTAATAAAAGATTTAATATATTTTTGTCGTTCATCTATGATACATCAGTTAATTGTTGTTTTAGAAAAATTGTGGACTGCATGAACATTTTATAGATATGTAAGTATTTTTTATATTTTAGATTTTTGCACACATTTTGGGTTCTGTTAGGAAATTCTTTAAATGAAAAAGGGGTTGGTTATCCATTTTCTAAAATGTGTTCAGTTCAATAAATTAATTCTCAATTTGTTATCTAACTTCTTCCATATTATCTTCCCTTCGGACGACATTTCTCTTATCTCTTTAATATTTTATCCCTTGTTCTGGGTAACCTACTAAACCAGTAAAGAATATCTGAGAATCCAGCAGAGAAAACAGAATCCAGGGTGGATAGTAAAGACGGTATTGCATTCATGTTTTTTTTTAATAGTGCTGGTTTTCTATCTATAAAATGATAATATACATTTATGTGTAGCAAAATCTTTTAAGTTAATATTGCCACTGGTCAGGAATCATTAATGTCTTCAATTTTCTCTAAATGTCGACATGGTGCTACTTTTACTATTGTACCCGAGAATACGAGTACCGATCGGTATTCTCGGATTGTACAATGGATTGTACTATCAATTCAGAGAGATATGTAACTGTACGTAGCTACTTCTGGAGTGACAGAAAATCATCTAGATACCCGTTTACATGAAATTCAATGACATATAATGACAATGATTTTACATTTCTCCATACACCTGACATTTTGTGCTTTTTTCTTGTCCCCTAAAGCTAAAGTCAAAAAATGAATAGATTTTCTAACAGCTGCAGCTGATTAAATGAAATATTGTCAAATTGTGAAAGAAGTTTCGTTGACAAGTGGTTTAAGAGAATCTAAATGTTTATTGGTTCTAAAGAGAAATACTTTGAAAATATACATTGGAATTAATTCAAGCAGTCTCACTGTATGTACCCTTATTTTGTCATTAATAATTTTTAATAGGAACTCATTTAAAATAAACATTTCTCATTATTAGATTCACTATAATTCTGCTCCACCACGTAGCCTATAAATGAATAATTATCTATACATAATTTTAACATAATATCATAATTACGAATTATTACCAGTGACCGATAATGGGTGTTCTTTGATGATTGCTGTTTTTATAAATGTACCTACAACATAATAATTGCCATAGAACGCTAGGATAAAAAAAATAACGTTGTTATTGCCATTTACTCGTTTTGTTCAAGATCTCAGTCGTTTATTAAATAGAAGATAGACGATCATGGTGTTCAAGATAAACATAAATGTATCTAATAGAGTCTTGGTTGTTTTGGGAGTTATTGGAGTCCTGCTTATAGGCGGAGCCATTTATTTAGGTTTCAAAGTCATTCCTGGACTTATTGACGATAAGATTTGGGAGGTAAGTAATAAATAAATAAATTTAAAAATTAATGTACCTATATGATAAAAAAGGTGATATTTTTGATTGTGATTGATAACGACGGTGATATTTGGCTGTGTGTGATGATGTGTGTGATGACAATGGTGATATTTGTGAGTGTGCTAACAACAGTGATATTTGTGTGTGTGTGATAATGACAATGATATTTGTATGAGTGATAACGACTGTGATATTTGTGTGTGTAATAGCGAAGGCAATATTCTGAGTGCGTTACCGACTGTGATATTTTTGAGTGTGATTGATAACGACGGTGATATTTGGCTGTGTGTGATGATGTGTGTGATGACAATGGTGATATTTGTGAGTGTGCTAACAACAGTGATATTTGTGTGTGTGTGTGATAATGACAATGATATTTGTATGAGTGATAACGACTGTGATATTTGTGTGTGTAATAGCGAAGGCAATATTCTGAGTGCGTTACCGACTGTGATATTTTTGAGTGTGATTGATAACGACGGTGATATTTGGCTATGGTATTTTGATGCGTGTGATGACAATGGTGATATTTTTGAGTGTGCTAGCAACGGTGATATTTGTATGTGTGATAATGACAATGATATTTGTATGAGTGATAACGACTGTTATATTTGTGTGTGTAATAGCGAAGACAATATTCTGAGTGCGTTACCGACTGTGATATTTGTGTATGGTAAAAATGGTAATAATTTTAAGTTTGTTATCGATAATGATATTTTTTTATGTGTGTAATAGCAGCGGTGATATTGTTGAGTATGATTGTTAGAGTGAAATTTAGAACAAGACCTCACGGTAAAGAAGAAAATAATTTATTTGAATTTTCGCCACATGTCAAGTGAGTTTCAACGCATACAAGACTTTTTTTACTAAAAAAGTTTCGATTGTAAAATATCACAAGAAGTTTTTAAAAGATTGATAACAACAACAGCAAAGTATTCCGAAAGAAAATAGAAAACTTTCTAAACAACAAATAGCCGGAGAGGCTAGCTGCGAGCTTAGTGTGCATCCACATACTCGCAACAGTTAAGCAGTGATTCTCCGGTCACGTCGCGGATGGGTGACCGCTAAGAGGTTCCACCATGGGCCGTGTCACTATGGGACTCATCCGACTAGCGGTTAACCACCGACGACGTGGAGTGAATGACGATGAATCAGGGAGTGAATGAGGAAGTAGTAGGACCTTCAAATGGTGGTACAATAAGCCGCAGGCTGCAGTGCCGCCAGGCTATAGACGGATTAGGGTGTAGCACGGAAGGATCCGAAGGGTGTAAAAACTAAAAAAAAAAAAAAAAAAAAAAAAAAAAAAAAAACAACAAATAAATCCATTTGTAACATTTTCTTATACCTATGCTATAAACTTCTGGTATCGCATTTTTAATACAATTATCATTAGATATTTGTAGGTATTTTATTATTATCAATTCGAAAACATGTTTGCTTCGAACTTAATTATGATGAATATAATTATGCATAAAAAATATAATGATGAGAACAAAATTACAAAAAGTTGTTTTATATAAAAGTTTATCAAAAAATATTGTTATTAAACTGGGTTACAATTAAATTCAATTTTGTATAGTAGATTATTTATATTTTTGATGTAAATTTGAGTAATATTTTGGATTAAGATTTCAGAAATAATTATTTCTTACTATTCCAGACGAAAGTTCTTAAAGAACACACCGATCAATGGGGCTTATTCACAAAAAGCCCCTTTCCATTTACATTCAAAGTCCACATTTTCGACGTTCAAAACCCTGATGATATTCTTCAAGGACAGAAACCAAAAGTCAAGGAAGTCGGACCATTTATATATAAGTAAGCAAAAAAGCAGTTATTATGAAAAAAAGTAGACTTTATTCATCTTAATAATAAATTAAATTAAATTAGTGATATATGATGTATGAAACTTACTGAAAAAGCTCGCAGAAAAACCGACGTATTTGTGTGACAACGCAGCCTCGAATATAGAAGGCCACTGTTTATTGTAGTTTATTATAATTTCAATTAAATATATTTGTTAATTATAAAAGATGTGTACATTATATTTAGAGTGCCAAAAAATTAACAATAATGTAATCCAGCAAACTATCAAATCAAGTCATCCGAATTAACATCTACTTCTGTTGATGGTAAATTGAGTGGGTGATTTCTTTAGCAAATTCACTTTGACGACTTCAATATTGAAGACGGTGCTTTTATAAGTAGTACTCACCCTGGAAAGACCACGAATTTATTCAGGGTTAGTACTAGAATGTCAAGAAGCTTCGGTCGAAGTATCAACAATGTGGTCACTTCAAGTTGGATCAAAGGTCACCTCACATCGAAAGGTAACCGTCTTGTTGATTCTCTAGCCAAGAAGGCAGCCAACCAAATTCTTTTTGGACCTGGCCCTGGTAGTAACAAACCTAATTAAAGAACATACCCATGTCAAATTCAAAGAAATATGGGATGAAACAAGAGTTATCCCGACAACATTACAGCCAACAAATACTTGACTATGACTAGACAGAATCTACGCCTGATCACAGGCATTCTGACTGGTCAATGCCAAGTACGCAAGCATTTTCATATCATGTTAGAGTAAGATTAAGATTAAGATTTAGTTAGGACTATGTGGCCTCCCCCACCTCGACCTTTTCAGATCTATTGTGGATATCCTTTAATCATTGTTTAGAGTACCTTGTCTAATTCGTCTTTTGTAGTAGACTCCATAGACTGGGAAGTAGTTCTCCGGTATAGCTAGTTGCCCTTGGTTTTTCTTCTCCAAGTGTAAGAAATCTCAGTCTTACTAGACCTTCGCAGTAGCACAATACGTGTTCTGCCGTTTCCTCTTCCTCTTGACAGAATCGGCACAAGGCCTCTTCTGTCAGACCGATATTGAACATATGTTTGTTAAGCCTACAATGCCCTGTTAATAGACCTACTAGTATTCTAGTATTTTTCCTATTAAGGCTTAGTAGATGCTCGGTGAGTTTAGACGATGGTCCTTTTAAGAACTTTTTGGCCTGTCTCTGTCCTGGTGAGTTTTTCCACCACTCCTGAGATTTTTTAAACACCCACTGCTTTGTGCATGTTCTGATAGTTGTTTTTGTTACACCACAGAAGGGTTCTGGGCCAATAAGAGCATTTGAGGCTCCTTCTCGAGCTAGTGAATTAGCCTCTTCATTGCCCTTGTGTCCCCTGTGGCCTGGTACCCAGGCTAAGGTTAGTCTGTTATGTTAGAGTAAAAATATTACGTTGGCTGGGTCATATAGCCAGTATGACGGAAAATAGATGGGTGAAAGGAGTATTTATAAGAGAAAATGGTGCGAAAAGAAGAAAAGAATGTCCAGGAAGAATTGAGAGACGCATGCAAGGACGATTTATACAAATTAAGAATTGCGAACTGGCGGGAAGAAAATTAGTAGAAATGCTCTAAATTCTATAAGACCTGTTGTGCTTATACATAAATTAGTAATTCTGACATACATTATTCAATGTATGGGCTTGCATCATGTATTGCCTTAGAAGCAAGAAGTCTTTATAGAATTCCTGATGTGAAAATATGTTTGAAAGACTGGATTGTAGTTTGAGGGAAACAGGTAAAAACTACAACGTTTCATTAATGCCATAGAAGCAGATCCTTCTCCAAGTGTCTGAAAATTAGTTGTCCAGTTTAAATGGCCAGAATCGACGATCTCTAGAATCCTTAGAAAATAACTGTATCCGTATTAACTTCAGAAAGTCAATGCGCTTCTTCCCAAATAATTTCCATAAACGATGAAATTTTCGAACTGAGTTTTATATCGGCACAAAAACGATGCAAATTTCTTGAATTCAGTTCTATTTACGGACGAAGCTGGCTTTCCTAAAATCGGCTTCATATAATCCCATTATGTGCTCCTAGTGTCGCCCAGAATCATCAGGCAATATTTAATTGGACCATTTTTATCACTAAGAAAGTTAATTGGATTATTTCATTTGGAATTTCTTCAAAACAACTTGCCAGAAAACAGGAGGATCAGTGGTTTAAGTTTAAGCTATCCAAAAGTATTACTTTAACATGTTTTCTATTTGAAACTCACATATTCTGGATATAATTAAAACAATTTTGCAGATTTATAATATTTCTGAAGTTAGTTTTAATTACTAAATTGTAATTGTAATTAACTTCACCGTTGTCAAATGTTACAAATTTTGGTAAAAACACATTTTTTGACAAATACGAAAAGTAGTAAAACAAATTCTGTTATTAAAGGGTATACAAATGGAAAGATGAAATTCAATGGACAACTCCTGATGACATTTCATATAATTCGTATATGAGATTTGAATTTGACAAAGAAGCTTCTGGAATATACACGGAAGAAACTGAAGTGACCATTTTGAATACTGCTTACTTGGTAAGTAATTTCTAACAATATAATAGTACCTAAATTGTTTAAAGAGTAAGAATTTATACTATTCCTTGCTGTTTGAATACTATACTTTTTCTACGACTGTAATACAAAAAACAGACAAAAACAGACAAAAAATAGATAAAAAACTTTCAAAAACATTCAAAAAACAGACAAAAAACATAAAACATAGACAAGAGTTATTGGCTTCTTATAAGTAGGAGGGCAACTATAATGTGTAATAATTGTAACTGCCAAAAATTAAAAATCAAAATGTATTTTCAAAATTAGATTTTTGATGCCATTTAGGGTTGTTTCAGAAAACTTATTTTATGATTTTTGAAAACCTATTAACTTCAAGAACTTATTATGACATTTATGGATTCATCAAAAGAAAGAAAGAATGAATTTTTGAGTTATAGGAAGAACTCTATTTTCTATTTGTAAATTCAAAAAGTTATATAACTTTAGTACTTAGGCAAATTGGGTCTGACCGACCTATTTTTATTACTCACTGTATTAATATTTATTTATTACAGGGTATAATGCTAAAAGTTGAAGCTAACCAACCAGAAGTTTTCCCATTACTGCAAGAAGCCCTTCCCATAGCTTTCGGTAAAAATGACGGTTTATTTATCAAAGTAAAAGTGGGAGATTTCCTGTGGAAAGGGATCAAATTTTGTATAAACGAAGGTAAAGATGATGGATTCGCGACAATTATGTTATGCAAAAGTATCATAAAAAAAATGAAGGAATCCAAGAATTTAAGATTTGAAAACAATACGGTGGTTTTTGCCAATATGCATTACGTAAGTTTTATTTGAATATTTATGTTTATAAAAGTGGATTACTGATTTTAAGGCAACTTTTCCTCTTTCTCGACCTCTTTTCCGCACTCTAACTTAATTATTAATCATCAAAATACAATAAGATTTAAGAAATTTCAAATATTAACTAGTTTCAATACTTATGCCTTTATACCTTCTTCAGTATATAACAATATTATCTAATGGATAATCATATAAAATAGTATTTACTTTCCTGGAAAAGGCCAGGACTTTTCTTTTGTTAATGGTCAAATGGTCAAAACTTTATTGTTAAGTAAGTTGACAAGTTTGTTTTTAAAATAATACAATCTGAGGTATCCTTTATTTTCCTATATATTTTATATCTTCAGAAAACACAATTTTCTTAGAATAGAAGTGATTTCAGACAGCCCTAAATATAATACGAGTTAAATATATTGCCTTCTCGACCCGTGCCAAAGGTCACGTATGCACCACCTTAAGCAGAATGCGCCACATTTCTCGTATGCTAAAATAAACGTTCTCACTCTCTCTCATCGAAGCTGAAAAATATTTTATCAGAATACTCTAGACTTTATAATAAATTAGCCACGCCTATTCATACAAGAATCGACTTGAAAATTTCCTCATTCAACAGACAATAGTTATTTTATTGAAACATACTGAACAATAATCATTATTATTATCCTTAAGGGGGTAAATTATAGGAACAATGTTAATATTAAGATAAGGATGAAAACAATCCTTTTGACTAGATTTGTTTTTAGAAAAACAACACGCATCTAGGGAGGTTCACCGTAAAATCTGGACTCAAAAACAAAGAAGAAACTGCCACTTTATCTCTATACAACGGAAAACCATACATACCAACGTGGTCTGGAGCAAATTCTACTTGCAACAAAATTAGAGGAGTGACAACGGTTTTTCCAGCCGAGATTAAGAAAGATATGATTTTTGAATCATTCGCTGAAGATATTTGTAGGTAGGAAAAAAATGTATTTGTTAAATTTCTGTAATTCTTTATTCTAAACAGGTTTCTTTAGGAAATCACTCTCTTACTAATATCTTCAGTAGTATAGTAATAGCAGCAGTATACTCCATTAGGCCAGATTTCTCCCCAAATTTCTTCAAATAGTCTTCAAATAGTCATCAAATAGTCTTCAAATAGTCTTCAAATAGTCTTCAAATAGTCTTCAAATAGTCTTCAAATAGTCTTCAAATAGTCTTCAAATAGTCTTCAAATAGTCTTCAAATAGTCTTCAAATAGTCTTCAAATAGTCTTCAAATAGTCTTCAAATAGTCTTCAAATAGTCTTCAAATAGTCTTCAAATAGTCTTCAAATAGTTTTCAAATAGTCTTTAGAATTTGTAATAAAAACTCTAAACGTATACCTTGTACAGTTCATCAAATTTCTAGAGGCTTTCGACGGCTAGACAGAGAAAGCACTACTGACAGGCATCCCGACGGATTTACGCAATGAAAGTACACTCTGCGCATCAAGTATTTCACTATTTCATTCAGACGTAAATGTCAGATGTAAATTTCGCTAAAACATTTCTTTTATTTTCGTTTGTGTTTTTTGCTCATTACAGTTTAATAGAACCTAAGTATGGACAGTGTTGTTCCTAGGGATTTTTGAATTGTACAACTTTCAGTGTCAAAATTGTACACTTTTACCTTCGATTGTACAACACATACTTTTGTACAACCACTAATTAATCTTCTTCTTTTTTATTGTCAGACTATGTCCTACTACTTTCCCATGCTTAAAATTCTTCTTTTTTCCAGTTTAAAATATATTTTCGATGTAAAACGGTGTACTGATTGGTCGCGAATAGCGCCAAATTTAAACTCTTATTTTTTTTATTAATTTTAATGCATGCTATTTAACAAATCGTAGACTTTTGAGCGAAGAAAACCTTTTATATACCCGATTTTACATAAATATTTAGCAATTTCAAATTGTACAACATTTCTGTCTTTTTTCAAAAGTGCGTACAACAGTACAACCGCATAACTGATTGTACAACTTTTTGTACAATTGTACAACCAGGAACAACACTGAGTATGGAGTTCAATAGCAAATTAAGAGGCCGCGTGATTAACAGTCAATCTCGCGAAATAATAGCCAATGTTATAGAGTTTATGAGAAGAGAAGGAAACTTTAATTCACCTTCAATACCATTTAAAAATGTAAATGATCGTGTTGCTGCAGCCACAGGAGTATCTAAAAACACTGTCGTCCGCATTTCTGGAGAGAAAAAAAGAATCGATAACCGTGAGATATCGGAATTTTCATCACCAAGAAAAACCATTAAAAAACCAAAAACAGTTAATGATATAGATGAAGCTGCACAAGAATCAAATTTTATTTTTTTATTATTAGATAGCTATTTTTGTTTCTGAGTTGTGTTCATTTACAGGCTCAATTTTTTTTCCGTTTCTCCTTTTTGATTTTATATGGGGTTTTAAGTTGCTTTTGACTTATTTCGACGTAAATCACAACAACACACTTTTTTAATAAAGCAAACAAGTGTTAAGAGGTATATGTACGTGTAAACTACAATTACAAAAAATTGATATGAAACCCATGAAACCACCAACAAAAATGTAAAGCTAGCTTCCGTACTAGAACATGGTGTCATTCGTCGAGATTAATTTATCGTTTTGTTTAATAGATCAAGAAATGTAAATATTCCCCTGTTATTTTTTATAAAATTTTAAGAGAAATAAATTTTTTTCTAAATAGTATAGTTTATTATTTTGTAGAAAAACAAAATTTCGAAAATTTTAGTAATGTTTCAAAAACAACCGTTATTAATAATAGGTACCATTTTCCTTAATAAGGTAGAAATAAAATATAAACTATTTCCACGATTTACAAAGGCCTACAAAAAAATTATAGGTATTTTCCGCTATCCTATAAAATTTATATTTTCTGACTCAATTTCAAAAGGTTGAAGGAATTCCAAAACACCTTTTATGGCATAATAATTATTTTCAATTCTACATACTATCTTTAGCTGCTTTTAAAAACGTTCTAAGAAAGTCCAATCAGACCAATTTAATCCCTAAACTATTTCACACTTTTAAAATTTAATTACCTAAAAATATTAAAAACTATTTAAAATAACTTGTTTAGCAGACTGTACAATAGCTATCTTAGTCACACGTAGCGCGTTCTCTGTCTGGGCGTCGAACACCTATAGAAATTTGATGAACTGTAATGTAATGAGTAATTGTTTTTCATATAGCAGCCATCTTAAATTTGATAGGAATGGGGAAAAATAGGCTAGTGCTGGGGATTTTTAAGAAGTTTGAAGCTTTGACAAACCCTTAGTCAATGATATTGCAATGTTGCCGGTTTAATTTTTTCCCCAGATCTAGGGAAAAATCTGGCCTAGTGGAGTATAGTGCTGCTATTACTACTTTCATTTTTAGAACATATTTTTAACCCACTTTTTTATATTTTTAGACACGTATCTTTGGAATTTAACTCAAAAGAAGTGGTCAAAGATTTGAAGGGGATCAAATTCGTTGCGAAAAACAACACGTTTAGCAGCACGTTACCGGAAAATTCCTGCTTTTGTAGTAATCAGAGCAGGACTTTTAATGAAAGCATGGGATGTGTAAAAGATGGAATTACGGACCTGACTTTATGTAGAGGTAATAATATTTTTTGACTTATTGCAGTTAATTAGGTAATTTTAGTGGCTTTTAATTTTTTGCTTAAAAAATAGCACCCTGAATATTTTCCAATTTTTATATACAGTGTGTCAGCGAATGGACTTAAAAAAAAAATTGATAATTTCTTCTGCTGTTAAATAAATACGATTCCCGTTGAGAAACTTTGATTTTGTTGTACAGGGTGTGTCATATAAAATACATTATTTGTGAATTTGTAAAATTAAGTTTTTTTTCATACTTCATCTTCGAGAAAAAATAAAAATGAAATATTTGCTGGTCTCTGAACCTTTTAAGACAAAAATTAGATATACAGGGTTGGCCAAAATTGGCGAAACACCGAATTTAATATACGTATACTTTTTTGAGACATCATTAGTAATATTAGAGAGTTATTGCAAGTTCACTTAAGGTCAGTCACTATTAGTGCCGCTCTTATTTTGTCATTTGAGCATGCGTAGATCACTAACTTTAATAAGTGTTGTGCCTGTCTATAATAAGAGAGTTATTGCAAGTTCACTTAGGGTCAGTCACTATTAGTGCCGCTCTTATTTTGACATCTAAGCATGCCCAGATGTTTATGTTCTAAAACTGACTTTATTAAGGATTGTGCCTGTCCTTAATTGTGGATGTTTAAGGGCAGCAGGTAGTGGCGCCTTTATAGCTTTCGTCATTTAAACCTTCTAAAATTATAATTTCTAATGACTCTTTAATATTAGGAACTATTATAGAATTTATTTGACTCTAATTACGATGTCACTATTAGTGGCTGGCTTTATAGAAATTTGCAATATCTCTCTATTAAGGACAGGCACAATCTTTATTAAAGTTAGTGATCTGCGCATGCTCAAATGTCAAAATAAGAGCGGCACTAATAGTGACTGACCTTAAGTGAACTTGCAATAACTCTCTATTATTTGAAATATAGCCTTATTACTAGTTTTTTTAAATGCCAACACCCTTTTCAGTAGTACCAATTAAAAAACTACATTTTTACAGGAGTAGATGACAAATTTCGTGGCATGATACGTAACAATATTTAAAAAAAAATATATATATATAACAAAACGTTTGTAATAATAATAATAAAAAAAATATATTTCGAAAATATTGTCACACAATATTAAACGAAATTTGACGTCCTTACACAAAAATCTTTTTTTTTGTTGATACTAAAAAGAGTGTTGCCGTTCAAAATTTATTGTCGCAGAGTTATAGTTTATTTTCTAAGTGGGGCACTCAAGGGGGGGTTTAGGGATTACAACTCCCTGAAATGTTAATAATTTAGTAGCAATTTATTTTAAATATCTCTCATTTTACTTTATGCAAAATGTCATACAAAAAATCTTAAAACCTACCAAATAAAATACCCGTCGTTTTATTTTCTATTAAATAAATCACTTTTTATTGTAAATAAAATAAAAGGAAAAATTTTTTTTGGATAACTTTATTTTTTGACATAATAATTTCAAGCGTCCTTCGTATATTACAAAAAACTCATTATATAAAATAAAATAATTATGTTATTTACGGATGAGAAATTGAACTAACTGTAAATATTTTTGAATAACTATAATATAATATGATACTGATAAATATCTATCATTTTTTATTAAAAAATATAGTTACAACGAAAAATATCCACCTTTTTTTTTGACTAAGTTTGCTCAAATCACTTACTTCATTAAAACTTGTTTTTCTCATTTAATTTTTTTTTCCAATCAGAATAAGTATAAATAGTTACACACGGTGTTAATAAATTACAATTTTTCACATTATGAAGTATTTTAACTTTAACCTTGTCTTTCTCTCGTTTTGATTAATGGATTTTTAAATGATATCAGTGGCGCACTATAAACGACTATAGACGATCAGTGGTACACAATTCCTGTGAAGCTGTGAAGGATATAAATAGAGAAAATAGGGATTTGAACAAAATGAAAGAAAACACTAAAGTAAAAAAAGAGAAATCTAAAATTAAATATACAGGGTGTGACGTAACTCGATGCCCATGGCTTAAATCGTATTCCTTGGAGAATTTTAGGTCGAAAGTGCCTTATACACTTTTGTCCAAAACTTAATAGTTAGAGAGTTGTAGGCAATATTAAATTTAACAATAAATCAATCTGGTAGGCCATGTAATTGTTTTGTTATGGTGTTTTTATGTAGGTGTGTTTTGGTTCACGTTCGAGAAGTGTTCCAGAACCATGTGCATAACTATTGCGCAATGGTCTTTATTCTGAACATTTCTGTAACAATTCATAAAAAAACTTATAACACATTAACTAAATAACTTCTCCATTTCCATTCGCCATTTAAAATTTCCTTGTAAAAATTCGAATACAAAACATGGCTCAGGATCCCAAACACAAAACTACTTGCAACAAAACGCAAGCGCAAACATATCAATGCGCTAGTTCAGTGTGATGTCATTTTGGTTCCACTGACATTTAATTCTAACCAAACTTTTAACAAAAACATCAATAAATTTGACATATACGTTTTAACTGTTTTTATTTTATTTCAAAATATTGTTTACAGGTCATAAAAAATAGTTTAAAGGTATGTAATTGGTAACTAAACGATTGTACACTTGATACATGCTATCTACTTACTTTAGGAATATATTTATAAAAGTGATAAAAACGATATAATTTAGGTAAACAAAACGCACTCAAAAAATCTAGTGTCACTTTAATTGTCAGTGGAACCATAATTACATCATCACTGAACTAGCGCATTCTGAAATAATTCTCGCTTTGTGTCATTCTTAAGAAAAACCAAAACACAGAACTGGAAGAGTTCTGGAACAGTTACGAAAGTGAACCAAAACAAAGTTTGTGATTGTATATTTGTGGGTTAGTGGGATAAATTCGCAGGGCTTCTTTAAGAGTTATGTCAATCCTTTTCAGTTCATTTGATACCCACACATACTTTGATTACTATACGGTGCAAGAGAGAGGTCCGGCACGACCAACATAGGGCGCGGCCATTTTGATTCCTATGCCACAGTTTATAGCTAAAGAATCAGATCGCTCACTCTGCGTCGGCACTTTTGATCTCAATGTTCCAGTTTATACACTGCGCAACTCGGATAATACAATATATGACAACCGCCTATAATAAAACAGCAGTCTTCTGCGTATCCTGAATTTGTATCCCTGGAGTGGATGTTATTTTGGAACTTTCAACTGGTCCGAGTGAGCTAACTGATTCTTTAGCAATAAACTGTGACTCCAAAAATAATATTCACTGACACTGACAGCAGCAAGCAAAATATCAGGTGCGTTTTAATCATCCGCTTCTGCTTCCGGAATTGTCAGTTTTGTCGTTTTAACCTGTCAGATTAAAACAAGAAAACCGACAATTCCGAAGCAGAAGCGGATGATTAAAACACACCTATTAAAAATATTGTGCCAAGATGTAGGCAACTCGTAATAAGGGATCAAAATGGCGGCGTTTTCTATTTCCTTTTAAAAGGCACTCTGAAAGTATGTGGATACCCATATCATGATGACAGATAAGATAATTTTGTCCGCCATCTTGGGGCGTCCGCCATATTAAATTTAATGTGACATAATTTTCTTTTTTCATATGCTTCTCAGGAAACTCTATTAATTGCTATCCATATCATGGGGTACATAAAAATATAACCAGTCAGCCATCTTTGAAAGTTCGCCATATTGGATACTTAGACACTTAGATAACTATGTAATATTATCTAAACTAAACGTGTATATTGCAAGTTAAATAAAAGTTTGTAATAAACAAATAAATAAATTACTAAGTAAATACTAATATTAATACTTTATAGCTACATTAATCTGTTACTCATGTTTTTTTTTTATTAAGTACTTAATAACATGATAAAAATACCTAATTCCAATAATTAATATATAAGATATTCTTGCTAAAAGCTTGAAGCGAAAGGTCAAACCGCAGTGAAAAACAACCGCGTGTATTTAACAATTAATTAACAATGAAAGAAGATGGTCGTTAATTTTTCTGTGACATCCATCCAACCAGTCTGTGGTGTGATTTACATATCTTGTCCCAGTTTCGGCAACGATCTTTGGTTCAGGTTCGGTTTAGGAGTCTCATCGCGTAAGAAATTAATTTTCTTCGCCATGCTGTCTGTAGAAATGTAGTATTAGTACGGTTCAAAACGATTTAAAATTAAAATACTAAAATTGGGAAAGAATATAATTATATGAAAAATCACCAAGTAATGAAATTATAAAGCAAACCTTGTTGCAGTCAAAATTTTTGGTGGTTTTAATTCTAGAGAGGCAATTCTTGAAAAAGAGGTGTCATGGCCACCAAAATGTGGAATTATCTTATGGCTCCTATACACGATCGACCATAATGGGAATTACAGCCGAATACCAACGTGTGAAGAGCCTATTTGCAGTTTTTCACAGACCGATCAAAGGTAGTCGCCTGTAGTTGCTTCTGTGTGTCCGCGCCAGTGTTTCCAAAATATGTTTTTGTTATGTACCTGATTTGTCTAAAAAATGTACCAGATTTTTCGAATTGTATTTGCGGTGATGATCTAGTTCAATAAGAGCAAAAAAGGTCTTTATAGACAACGAACACAAACAAGGAAGGTAACAATATATTTTTTTACATTTCAAATGGAAACATACACTGTGCTACACCACCAAACGCCGGAGAAGCAAAAGTGCTTGCTTCGAGTCTAGTAGAATACCAGTACAATTGTACTACTTTGGCAACACTGGTCCACACTATTGCCGATCTGTCAGTTTCAATTTAAATGTACCTAGAATTAACAATGGAGACGTGGACTAAAGATCAAACGTTTAAATTTGTAGAAATTTATCAAGGCGAGAAAACAATTTGGAAACTTAGTTTTAAAAATCACAAAGATTACGATGAACAACCAGCATTCTTTAGCTTCTTTTTCTAATTTTGCCCATGATGTTATTATTTACCTTGTTTTGTGATGATTGTATGATAAATAACAGTAGCTGCAACCAACTCCTCATCGACTTCCATCTTGAACAATGGACAGAAAGTAAATGAACACAAGCGATCGTGTGTCCCATTAGGACCGATCCTTTATATGGATATGGAATTACACAGGGTGTTTCTTAATAACATTCTAATATTTAAGGGGGTAATTCTTGGACCCATTTTAAGAAACAAACTAAACTTTTGAGATACAGGGTGTTAAAGTTTTATAAATTTTGATTATTCGATTGGTTAGTACATAAACTTATTTTATTTTTTACTGTATCTAAGTCAGAATAATAGATCTTTTCACTTTCTACATTCATTACTCATAAAATAATATACCAACTGTAAATAATGATAATGAATAAAAACCAAATTACGATCGAGACTACGATCGATGCTATCAAAACGAATATAATAATACAGTTTTGAGTCCGAGGTTTGTTGGAACACCAAATCTAGACTGCGCAGAATCCCGACAGTACGTAAACCGATTTGTTATTGTGTTGGAACAAACCTCTAGTTTTCTTTGACTCGAACATTAATAAACTATCTGGCAAAAATCCATCGGTGCTTCCAATGTGAGCTATATTAAACGATTTCCTTCTCCAGTTGGATTTTTTGATCCACAAGAGAACCCTTCCATAAAGGCTTGTTTTTTAGTTTTGATGAAGGTATACTGCCAAATTTTTGTTACTGTATGTTCAGCATTAACCCATGTTTCATCTAAATAAAATACCTGTTTATGCTGATTCCTTGCGTCCGCTATTTTCCTTATATAATCACGTCTCCACGCAATGATTTCGTTTTTTTAAAAAGCTGTTTCTGTCACGTTTTTTGTAACAAAAATGTAATTTATGTATTCCTTTTTGCACATGAAAATATTATATATTTGGAGTAGGGCTATTTTCTATTTCTGAGTGTAATTTTTTAAGTGTTTGAATTTAATTTCGAAAAACAAAAGAATGTACCATTTGCCTTATTACATTCTTTACGCAAGTTTCAATAAAGGTCTTGTTTCTTCCTGGGGTTCTTTTCGGATATGAGACTTCTCCAATAACTGCATTTTCTTTAATAATGTTATACACTGTCCGCTTAGATATTTCAGTAAAGGTCTCACATTTAGTGGCTATTTCATCCACAGAAAGTGAAACAAAATATTTTCGAAGATTATTAAATACATAAAGTACGATATTTTTTTTTCTAAAGATAATGCTTTATGTCCATTAGGTCGCCATTCTTATATAACTGTAAAATTATAAGATACTAATACAAAATTCTGAAACAAATATAATACATACGATACAGCTATGAATAAATAAAGTTTGACTTATCTGTCAAAAGAAAAGATTTGTGCCTACAGTAAAAACCATGGAAACATGATTCAATCTAAACGAAAACTTTTATTGGGCCGATCAGATGTATTAAAATTTTCATTTCAACAACAAATAAGCACTGAAACATGAGGTATAAATAAAATGGCTACCTTTTGAACCTTTACTACGTTCTGCAAATTAAATTACTGCACTCCTTTTTTCTTAGCTAACTTTGGTTGCCAAGAATCTATTTTTATTGATAAATTATGACTTTTGATTTTATAATTAATATACATGACACGTCATTCTTTCCTTATCTACAAATAATATATTTATTCTGTACCTTAATAATAATAATGCACTTATATGCCCATAATCCGTTTCATAATGATACCCATTATGATACAAATTTTTCATAACGGTACAGATTTTTAATCAATAGAAACCCAAATTGTTTCAATCAAGCGTGCTATGTATTTGACGTTTGTCTTAGGTTCCCTATATAATTGTTTTAGTTGTCAAAATCAGTACGTATTAAATTTTCATAGATAGCTAAACTTCGATATTTATATTATCAAAATATCTGATTATCAGCGATATAGAAGACTTATTTATCATCGACTCCTCCACACATATCGGACAAAGCAGAAAATGTAGTACAAAATATTTTGCCCTAAAAATCTATGGTATTCTATGGTTGATTATTTATCGGGTGAAGAAAAAATAGCGTATGCAACTCTCATGTAATGATTATTAATACACTCGCATAAACCCGGTTAATGCTCGAGTACTAATAACCATCATTACATAATCGTTGCATAATATACTATTACATACTTCTCCAATGAGTTATAATGATGGAATAAAAGCAACTTTTTTCTATATTATTTAGATTATAATGGTTATATTTATATTAATTGTAAGTTTTTTTTTTTAATCTTTTCTATGTCTTAATCCTCATAGGAGCAGGTATGTATTTTTCTATAGGTATCTTTTAATTAACTTTTTTGTTTATTCTTAATTCAATATATTGGGTCCTATGATTGAACGTTTACGTTATCCGTAACGTACATGTTAGGCTCAGTTTTAACAGTAATTAGGCAAGTTCGTATGATGAAAAACGGTTTTCAACACATTACTGTTATTTTCCGCCTGTTATGTTCTAATTTAACAGTTTTCCATCATACAAACTTGCTTCATTACTGTTAAAATTCGACTTAACATGTACGTTATGGATAACATAAACGTTCAATCATAGGACCCAATATGTTCTTATTAGTTAAAAATAATCGGGCTTTAGCGGCAGATTAGACATCTAAGTCTAAAAGACTTAAACGAAATGAACTAAAATGACATTTACCTAATTTTTCTTATACTGTAAGAACCAGATTCAAACCCATAACTGTATGCGTTTATGTCGACCCTCGATTTTGGATGTTTCCACCAACGTGTTAATAATACTTATATCAGCAAAATTACCAAACGAAACCTTTCAGGACCATTAATCTTTGTACGTGTAAGAATTGTATTTATAATTATTAAGAATTATTACAAAGCTATAATAATGAAAACTACTCAAAAAATATACTGTTATTCTTGTTATGCGATAGATAATTAAATTTAAAAAAAATATTTTCCAAGCACCATACCCAGAAATTGCCTTTGTTGCACTCGCAAACTACCAATCCGGTCTGCTTACGTAAATATCTACTAAAAGATATAAAATACACAGTATAATGAGAAACCTTTTAGTATCATAATAAATTTTTTATTAACAGTGTAAAAAAAATCTTGTTAAATTTAATTCTCTTCGGACCGGCCTGCAAATTCAACCTCAAATCGGATATAAAATCGAAGACGATAACCAAACACTTTCAGTTAATAATGAATTTTACGCAAAGTCTCACGATCATATTAACCTTCAGTGTCGCATCAGCGAAAATTTACGACAGATGCGAACTAGCCAAAGAACTTCGTCACGTGTACGATTTCCCCGAAGATGAAATCTCCACGTGGTTGTGCATAGTTCAGCACGAGTCGCATTTCAACACTTCAGCCATGAACCATGGCTCTGGGGATCACGGTCTGTTTCAAATATCGCAACTATACTGGTGCGCTACAAAAGGTACAGGTTATGCTTGCAACACCAATTGTGCCTCGTTCAGAGACGACGATATCAAAGACGATGTTTACTGCGTTAAAAAGATATTTAAAGAACATTCCAGGCTATCCGGAAACGGATTCAATGCGTGGACAATATACGGCTACTTCTGCAAAGGAGACACTAGCAAATACATAGAAGACTGTCCAGATAACTCAATAGAAAATACCATCAAAACTACAACAGAAGTAATTGAAGAACTAGATGAAGACGGTTACCATTTCCCACCTTTACCATCACCTCCAAAAGTATACAATCGCTGTGAGCTAGCTAAAGAGCTAAAAGACGTCCACCAAATACCTGTAGATGAAATACCTACCTGGGTATGTATAGCACAGCACGAATCAAGCTTCAACACTTCTGCCAACAATCCTGTTAGTGGTGATCATGGTTTGTTCCAAATATCAGAACAATACTGGTGTTCTATTTACATCAGAGGCGGTGGATGTAACGCAAAATGCTCTTCGTTTAGAAACAGTGACATCAGTGACGATGTTAGATGTGCTAGAACTATATTTAACGAACATAAAGCTATTAGTGGTGATGGTTTTACTGCGTGGAGTATATATCCTCAATACTGCAAAGGAGACACCAGTAAATACATTGGTGGATGCCCAGATGCTAATACAACTATAAAACCAAAAAAGAAGAGTAAAAAAATAACAGCTCAGTATACAGAAAGGGTGTACAAACGCTGTGAGCTAGCTAAGGAGCTAAAATACATTCATAATCTTCCAGAAAACCAAATTTCTACATTAATTTGCATAGCTAAACATGAGTCTAACTTCAACACATCTGCAAGTAATCCTGGAAGTGGAGATCACGGTATTTTCCAGATATCCGAGCAGTATTGGTGTTCTCCTTACGGAAGAGGATCGGGATGCAACGTTCACTGCGATTCATTAAGAGATACTGATATTACTGACGATTTAAAATGTGTAGAAATAATCTACAATGAACATTTAGGTATTTCTGGAGATGGCTGGAATGCTTGGGCTGTGTATCCAATTTTCTGCAAAGGAGATACCAGTAGCTACATCAGAGAATGTTTTGATACTGTAGAAAATTCTGGTGCTTACGATATTCGAGCACAAGATAAGTACGATCAAAGTATTTCCAGATTAAATTATATAAAATCTAGCTTTAATTTACTTCCTTCAACGCAAAAATCATTTGAATACCCTCCTAGCTCAAGTCAGACGTTCGGAAAAGCCAACGATTACAGTTTTGCGAGTTTTACAAGTAGATTTAATCCCTTAGACATGCATCAAGCAGCATCTCAAGATCTAAGCTATCAAAATCGTGTAGGAACAAAATCTATTGCTGTCAATGCATCGTTTAGATCCAGTGGAGCTAAATCCAGATCATTAGATTCCCCAATTCAATACAAAAGTATAATGAGACCCCCTGGACCTAAAAGAAGACCTGGTGATGCTCCAAAACCGCCTAGATTTCCTGGAAAATTTCCTACTGATTCTTTAGATCCTACAAGACCTCTAGGTCCTCCTAGACGTCCAGAATCACCCCCAAGACCTCCGAGACCTCCAACGGGTAGACCTCCAACTGGTAGACCGCCAACTATTAGACCTCCAACGGGCAGACCAAGGCCGCCAAGACCCCCACCACCACCTCCAACTACTCCTAGGCCTTTTAACTGGAATAATCTACCAGGAATAATTTTTACTTTATGGCCAAGTTCTACTACAGGACCTGTGTTTACTTCTGTGTATTCTACGACTGCAAAATCATCATTAGGTGTACAAACCACCGTTTCGACTACCTCTAGACCTTCTTCTGATCGAGAAACTACAGTTAAAAGCGATATTGGGAAAATTAAAACTCTTAACGATAAGAGGGTGAGTTTTGGAGCATTTTCGGATTCTCATGGTAGTACTGTTAAAAGAGAAGAAAAAGACGTGAGAAATAATTATCCGGGCTATTCTTTTTCTAGGAGTAAACTGGGTTTTAGTTTAGTTCAAGCGTTATAGCTTCCGTGTTATAAACATGATTTTAGTTAATTTCTAAGAAGTTTAATGATATTTGTGTTCAGTAATATTTATGACTTTATTTACATTTAAAATGACGTGTCATTTGGAGAGTTGTATATTAGACAATAGAAATAAGTAACTGTTTTGTTGAAGATTTTATTAAAATTTGGTCTGCTGTTACGAAGTGTGCTTTTGTGTTCAAGGTGGACCAGTAATGGTATCTTTTCCGCATTTGTTGTATGCTGATAAAGAATATATCAATAGCGTCGAAGGACTGGATCCTAATAAAGATAAACATCAACCCTTTTTGATATTGGAACCGGTAAGTACTTAGTTTTTAAGAATATTATGCATTTTCGTACAAATGTGAAATATACTCTCATAATAAAACGCATATTTGTTAAATTCTACAGGGTTTCGCAGTAAAATGTACATGCTTCAAATATTACCTAGATACAGGGTGTTTTATAGATTTCGCCTGAATTTTTATTTGGCCAAAACTTGGTAAAAAAAATTAAAATTTGGCAAACAGATTTTCCTCGATATAGCAAAGTAAAATTTTCGAAAAAAAGATTTCTTTGTACAGAACAAAGATGTCTGGGTTCGAATCCTGACGCTGACGGGCTCTTTTTGGAATCTCCAAGTGTGTGTTTTCACCTTTGGGGTTCGGGGATGGTCTTAATAATTCGTAGGGGGATTTTTGAGATTTGTTTAAAAATTTTCAAATTATTTAAAAATTAGTTTTTTTGGAAAAACAAGATTAATATATATTAATTAAAATGGGGAAAATCTACTGAGGATGACATTTGTTCATAAAGAATGTATACAACGCATTAGACAAAACACCTTTCATATGTAATTTTGTAGACCTTTCTAAAGCCTTTGAAGAAGATCATAAAAAATTATCATAGAAAAACCAAAATTTTATGGCATGAGAGACGTCCAATTTATTTTTGTTGAAAGCTACTCAAGCAATGGATCTTAGTACATTGACGGAAACATCAGTGATGCTAGAACTATTACTTATGGTGTGCCGCAAGGTACTGGTACTGAGGCCTATACTATTCATTTTATATATAAATAGTTTGCTTTGTGTAATGGGCTTACAACTAGTGTAACATACTATACTTTTTCTACGCCCACTAAAAACATTTTTAAAAAGGGATTTAACGTTATGCTTGTATCGCCAATCCATAAATTTTCGATAGGTGATTTCGTACCTTTCTTTGGTTTTTAGCGGTAAGAAATAATGTGTGGCAGCTTGAGTTTTTCCTAAAATCTTCGGTGGAGTACTCATAATTCCATCACTTTCACTGCTTACAAACATATTCGTAGGTAAAGTTGAGAAAATGTTCGGATACAATCATATTTTGTTACAAAAATTGACAATATAAATGGCATGACGTTTATTTCCATAGCATGCTAAGAAAACGCGACATATTTTTTTGAAAAATTGTATAATATGCTGCCGACATTTAGGGGTATCTCTTTTAAACCAAAATGTGTCTCGCTAAAGCTTAAAGTTTTTATGTTTTTTAAATGACGTACATAGACAAAACTTTGATTAGGATTTGATTAAAACAAGAAATTTAAGTTTTTTTAACAAAACGCACGTGTATGTTATAAGATCGCATTACGTGCATGTTATTGTTAAATGTCATTTACAAGGAATGTTGATAGTGCGATTTTTAACGTTTACTGACATGGGCGTAGAAGAAAGTATTTAATTTGATCATTTTTAAACGGAATTTAAAAAAAATGCATTTAAGCGCCGTTCTGTATTAAATCTATGAACATTTGATGCTCATTGTTTTAATAAATATCTAGTAGTTTTTAAACGGGAGAGTTTCCCACCTTTTTATCTCAAATGTCTCTGTAGAGTGCTGTTTCTTCCTCGTTGTTGTGTAAATGAAAAGAAAATTAATATTTTTTTTCTACGTTCATGCAAAAAATAAAACTTTATTGAACTATATTTATTGAAAAAACGGGTTTTTTATTGCACTAGTGCAATAAAAATTTTATTCCACTCATCTGTCATTTTACTACAGCGTTTTATGAGTATGACAAACATAAATATTCAAATCAACGCCAAATATTTAGTCAATTTTCATTTTCTGTGTTACGTTTTAAAAACAATTGCATATTTTATATTATTTTCAATCATTTAATAAATAAATTAATAAAAAAATGTATTTTATTAAAAATGTCATTACAAATTATGGACACGTAAATAAATGCCTCAAACAAAAGTACACGATCACGGCTACTATGATTTGGATAATACAACTGCAGTTCTATAAAACATTTTTTGGTTTTTGCATGAACGTAGAAAAAATATTGTATACAACTCGTGCAAAAAGTGTTTATTGCACTCGACGTGAATGGCCCCTCCCCTGCAGGCTTCCTAGATCTCACTTGCTTTGTGTTACAATTTTTGAACTTGTTTCTCTTCCAATGATAAGGAAAATGTCATACTTATTTGTCTAATATTATAAATCCTTTTCCAGAATATCTCCGATTGTTTATATAATTTTATTAAGTTCGTTTTCTTTCTCTGTAATTAAGTTAATAGAAACCTTTAGTATTAAATTCATATAGCACCCTGTATGATGGTAATGAAAATATGCTAGAATCATTGATAAAGGGTAATTTTGAATAATCCAAGTTAACACAAATACTGGTATATTTCACTCTAAAAACCATGTAGGTATTTATAAAATATAAAATTCTTGAAATTTTAATAAATTTAAAATTCCTAATTTGTTTAAAATTCTCTATAAATAACTGGACAAAGTACCTAACTGGTTTCAGGTGCTAATGAGATCAGATAAACCAATAAATCAGCTATCGAATTTTAAATCGTCTTAGGTATACAATACAACTATTTCTACTATGAATTTTCATATTCACCATTTCGAATCAATACGTAACAATCAAGGCCGTGAGAATTTTATATTATTTATTTATCGAATTTAATAATTTGATTAATAAGTTGTTATTAACCTTTTCAACCGTATATAGCTACGTGTAGGAATTTATTAAATGAGTTGCATCTCATTTCGAGTTTAGATAATTTCTAACATTTGTATGTTGTCATTTAATGTTATAATTGCAATAAATAGATAATACATCTAATAGGCCAATTACTGTCTCCGTTTATAATAAATACTTTGTACATTTTTTATGAACGTGTCTATCGCATCTGGAAGTAAAATAGTTAATTTATCGGACATCACAAGGTTCTACGGATATTAGATACATAATATAGTAAAAACGAAAAAGGAGTATCTATCAGGAAAAGAGTAGATGGCAGATTAGATTTAGAATAGATTAAAAAAGAATTGAACATATTTTATGTCCTTGTCCACCGCAACCTTTTTAGATCTATTGTGTTTCTTCTTACAATAAAAACAGGGTAATTATTCTTTATATTGTAACTTGACAAACCGGGCTCTAACCTAGTTTTCCAAATGCCCTTAACCTTGGCCTAAATTTCGTCTAGTGGATCCACACGAAGTGATGTTAAAACCCCCAGAACTACGTTTAGAGTTCAATGTAGCTGTAATGGAGGAAGAACAAAGTAAAAGCAGAGATTAATTTGGAATACTGTTTATTTCACATCTATTCTTTTGTACAGCAGGACATTTAGATTATGTGCCGTTTTTCACAACATCTCAGATGCATCCGATGTGGATTCTCAAACGCGGCAATAAATCCCATCTTATTTCTAAAATAAGTTGTTTAAGTATATTCAATAGGGTAATATATTGCAGATAAATGAGTCATCAGTTGCGAATCCTAATCAGGTAAATAGTCCCAAGATGCGAAATTTCAACCCAGGGTCCCCAGTTAAGAAATTCCGAGTTGCGAAGGTACCCTTCTCATTATCCTGGTTATAGAAACTATTCTTTAGACGTCGAATGTTCTTCTAAATTAAAACCTACACTATAATTTCTATAACAAAAATAAATCATAAAAAAAAAGGAAACAACTGATACTTCAAATAAATATTTCTTTCATGTATGTATTTGCGTTTATTTTCCTTTATTGCTCTTTCCTTAACTATCCCATAATAATATCCTTAGATATTTGATGTAATTTTTAAAATATTATCCTTTAATATTTATGAAATTTCTGTAAATAGCATTTAGTTTCCTCTTACTTCGACAGTATTTTTAAATTCCCGTCTATACAAACTCTACGCATGATGTCATGCGCGTGGTCGTCCATTTTTGACACAGTTGATATCCTACCTTCTATTTTTTATACCATGATGTGACATTACTATAAAAAATTAAGAGAATTGGGTACTTGAATTCAAGAAGTACCAGTAGGGCACGCCACAGTGAATTACAGATAAATTATTAGTATTGCTACGTTTGAAAAGTACCTTTTCTTTCTTTTTTTACTCCGTTTGCTCCATTGATATGGTTTGCCCTATGTCACGTGAAAAAAAAATCAACTTGCTCTGCTCGAGGAGGTACATTTCAAACGTGGCATATGACATAACCCTTTCAAAAATTATTCTACCACTTTTTTACAATGTGTTTTTTATTTTTTAGATCAGTGGCACACCATTGTATGGCGCTCAGAGGATACAGTTTAATATGTTTGTTAGGCCTGTTGATGGAATGGACAGTACTGCAAACGTGTCAAGATCTCTAATGCCACTTATTTGGGTTGAAGAGGTATTTATACATAGATATTTAAATTAATTTTTAAAATGAAATCGATTATTTTGACATTGTCCATATAATGTTGGTATTTGACATTTGACATTTAATCTGACGATTAAGAATATGATCCGATATTAATCAAATATCGGTTACCCTGTCCTAAAATTAACCATTCCTGAAAAACCGGTTAAAATGGAGACGTAGTTGCCTGAACCGGTATATTTTTACGGTTGTCGTTAAGTCACAGAATCAATGTGACTCTCGGTTTGTGATCTAACGAGAGCTTTCTTTTTAAGGGTTTATTGTTCTTGGTGTATAAAATCCTATGTCAAAAAAAGAACAACTAATAACGGTCTATGATTGACAAGACAAGAACTTTGTGCACTATCTATCGGGCAAGTGCCTAAGGGGAGAAGGGGGAACATGTAGAAGTTGTTCTAAGTACTGTTAAAAAAGAACGTTCAGTTATGATCAAGAACAGCTATAGTACTGCTTAGGAGTCCGATATTAACCGACTACAAACCGTAACTAACCAGGATTTTTTGCCAGCGGTTCCTGAAAAAACCTAATTTGTTGGTTACTCTTGGACCACCGCCGAAAGTTGCGTCACTTTTGTGAAAAATTGACATTCGACTTAATGATAACCGTAAAAATATGCCGGTTAGTGAATTGGCGTTTGAGTCACCTTTTTCATAATGGCGTCACTAATTTAACCGGTTTTTCAGAAATGTCAAGTAGAGTGGTTAGTTTTGGATCGAGTAACCGATATTTCGGTTAATATCGGACCATAGGGGGTGGGTGGCTTAGTGGTAGAGTCCTTGCCAGCGGATCCAAGAGTCCCGGGTTCGAATCTCACCGTTGGTCGGGATTTTTTTATTTAATTTAATTATTTAAAATTAATTCTGATGCCTTGGTAGGATTCCCTACTCGACCATTCACTGTTGGGCTATAATTAACAGTGCTGTTCCTAAAGTGGCGTTGGGAAACAGTAACAAAGCCTACACAGAACACGAGGCTAATGACCTTAGTAGTTGATGCCATGACACAAAAAAATATCGGATCATATCATTAATGTTAGGATTTGACATTTGATGTCATACTTACACTTGACATTTGACGTATGACGGAATGCTTTTGAAGAAAAGTATAACTTAAAAATTTTTGTTTTTTTAACAAATTTCTGATGCCTTGGTAGGATTCCCCACTCGACCATTCACTGTTGGGTTACATAATATACCCTGTGATATTTAGTTTATGACTAATTAATTAAAATTAATAAAAATAATAATCAGAGTCACATTAAATACGACTTTTTACAACTATCTTAACTGAACTATATATTAATTTGAATTAGGGCACACTCGTACTGAAGCTCTAGGTTTATTGTTTCGTCCTCTTCTTCAGATACCCTTAGGAGACTTAAGAATCTTCTATGGCTGCAGTGTCCTGTAAAGGGTCTTACATAGTTCCTTTTTTACTAATTGTATCTGCTATTAGATGAACACTATGAATATTCTGGACTGTCTGTGTCCATGAAGTTCCAACCAGAGTTTATAGTGTTCTCTGTTTACTTTCTCCATTAACACCCCTTTACATGTTGATGTGAAATATCACATGTGGGTCGAGTTAGAGTTTTCTCAGCTTTCGTTTTTGCTAGGATATCTACATCCTCGTTCCCAACACTCTCTCATATCTCAGCACCCATTCAAGATTGACCTTATTATGTTCTGCCAAGGCCTGTAGGGACTGTTGTTAGTTCAATATTACTGTGGTTTGCACTTCTAGGCTTTACAGTGCCATAAAGGGTGTCAGAGTGTCTGTTTTACTGAAGACTCTGCTGTTTCTAAGAGCCATTTAGCAAAATCATTTTGGTCTAGAAAACTAATCATCTCCTTTGAGTTTGCTCCTGTTATGTTTTACATCTTTGAGTCCAAAGGGTTCATAATTTCATAAAGTCATGAATGTAGGTATTTTATCCTATGGCATTATTAACACCAGATTTTATTTTTATTTTTATATTCTTGTATGGTATAAATTTTTTGAAAAATTCCATCAAAATCTATTTGTAAACAACCTGTATGTAGCCATAGCGATATCCTAATTGAATCAGTGAGTCAAAGAATAGTACTAGTCCAAAAAATGACGTTTTGAGTTAAGATAGCCAAATTGATATTAACATGTGTCTCCACTCATTGAGATCAAAAACACTGGATGAGTGAAAGAACAGTACAAGTCCAGGACATGTACTGTTTTTACACTCATTACTGTTACTTTGAAGTTGATGTTTTGAATATTATTTTATTAGTTTCGAAAATCGCTCTGTGAGAGTTGATTCTGTTAATTTTCTCTTCAAAATAGTAGCAACAACACGTTTTAAAAAAATCTGCCAATATTTTCCGAACAGAAACCACTCATTCTTGCCCTGTGATAGGGATTTTAGAGTCCTAAAAAGATAAGTTAGAAGATGCGATTGTGTATATATTCCAGAGAAATATGAGGAAATGATATCGTCATTTCGACAAATTAAATCATTTACCAATAAAAAAATTACCTGCGGAGATATTTTAGATTTTAAAAATTAGTGACCTGTTTTTCAAAAAAAAAATACAACTGCTGTAGGAAGCAATGAAGAGTTTTCTCTGTCAAATTATAGGCAATTTGTATATGACACCAGTGGATATGTGAAAACTTATGAATATATAGGTAGTCTAGTATCTCATAGCTTTAAACTAATGAAGCATAATAAAAATTGTCCACCCCTGAACAACAAATTCCAATAAATGTAAATAAAATAAATGCCGTAAAAAAGGTAATGCAATATATTACAGGAGAATTGCTGGAATTTTACTATCACGTCACCTCCTGGCCCACATATGCAACCCATGAAACCGAAGAAGTGCATGTGTTTTGCAATAATATGTTATAATAGTTTATTTGTCAACCTTGCATTATTTATAAAATAGAGGCTACTAAAAATAAAATATAAACTATATAATTGACTTTAAAAACAGTACATGTCCACAATATATTTTTTTAAATAATTCAGATACAAACCCTTTTTAATAGTTGAAACATAATAGAATGCCATTTTTGGACTAGTACTGTTCTTTGACTCACCGATTCAATTAAATCCTTTATCTTGTTTTTTTTTTATGTTTTAGTCGTTCGTAATCCCAGACAAGTACATAAACCTGCTGAACGACAACCTATTCAAGAGCCTCTCCATCGTCAACATCATCAAATGGACAGTGATCGTTTCCGGAGGAGCATGCGTAATAATATCTGCTTTGACGTTGATCTACAGACAAGCCCCTTGACTCTTCTTTACAGATCCATATCCTTACACCAACTGATTGATCATGGTCGAGAAGATACCAAAGTCTGTGTTTAAAATACTGCACTGTTTAAAATACTCACGGTTTCAGAAACGTATTGATATTTCTCAATTTAAAATGTTGAATTACAAGAGTTTGTCGACGACATCGATGAGCGTAGACAAGATTTTATTTTGAAGAGGATCCAAATGCATCAAAATTATTACAATGTTTATTTTTCTTTTACTTCTTCTTACCTTATTCCTCGCAGTTTTAGTGTTTACTTGTTATTATTAGATCACTAACAATTATTGTTTATTTTTTTGCTTTGGAAAGCCATATCGGTGCCTATAGTTCAATTTGACCAATATATACTTTAGCGATCAAAATATTGTTAATAATTTTTGATTTGTTGTTTTTAATTTTTATAGAAAATATATTTTTGGGATTACGAGTTTGTTATCAAGCTTTTTCTGGCCTATAAATATTGTTGTTTTATATCCAGTTAGCTTTAATTTATCACATAGTTTAATTTTTACAAAAATAACGAGTAAAGGATTTTTACCTTATAAGTTCTTCTGTAAATTTTTGTCGAAACACTTTAAAAGTTATTTTGTTATGTATATATTAAGTTTATGTATTTAATAAGAATCTTTGTAATAATATAAATATTATTGTACCTGTGTCAATGGTCTCTGCAGCCGAAACACGTTAATTCCAATAAAAAACAAATTCTTCATTATTCTGTCTTTGACTATACAATGTGTAATTGTAAACATATTAAAAATAAATTTAATGTCAATTTTGGGATGCCATCTTAAGTTTTAATTTCACAAATATTTTTGTTTATATTTTTTAAAGATCACCTTTTTGTTTGGAAGATGTGTTGTTGTTTTCCCCACCTTAAAAATAAACAGGTAAAAAAATTGAAGAGTGTCAACACAAATTTTGAATAATGAAAAATTGTTTAATAAAATAATGACATTCAATAAATAATAAGAGACCCACGTTGGAAATATACAGGGTGTCTGTAAAAGGTCTTTACAAAAACATACCACATATTACTTAGACCAAAATAAGGCGATTTAAGTAAAATTACCTTAGTACAAAGTTGCTTCGTTTGGGCTCCAGAGGGCCTTGAAGTTACAATTTTTAAATCGTTTTTCCCATATAAATTTAAAACGGCATATGCGATTTTGCTGAAATTTGGTAAATTGGTAGAGTTTTATGTGGCAAAAAAAACGGTATTAAAATTTTGTCCGATAATAATACATAGGCGTAGAACTTGATTTTTTAAATAATTGCACCTTTAAAAATTCTACGCCAATGGAAGAAAAGAAGTTTGAGTATGAAATTTAGATTGCGCAACTCATTTACTTTAAAAAATGTACTTTTGATAAGACTCGATTACTCTCAAGGTTTTGACGAAATTTGCATTTTAGTAGTTTTAGAACATAAACAATAATTATTAAAATACAAACTTTGGCAAAACCATGAGAGTAAATCGAGTATTATCAGGCGTACTTTTTTGTAGTAAATGAGTACCCAATCCAAATTTCATACTCAAACCCCTTTTTTGCCATTGGCGTAGAATTTTTAAAGGTGCAATTATTTAAAAAATCAAGTTCTACGCCTATGTATTATTATCTGACAAAATTTTATACGATGAAAAACATAAAAATCTGATGTGTCCAACACATGACTTTCCTATCTAGTTATTATAGGCTTTTACCGGTTATTTTGTACAACCTATTGCAGCATCTCTATAAATGTTTAGAGGATAAAGCATTGGCCACAAAAATGTTTCGAGGTAACTCGAAACATTTTTCTATAGATATTCATTGAAAACGAAAATACCGAAAAATTTAAATTTAGCACTTTTCCATTACGGTTCATTTTAGAAAAATCATGTATAAACAAAAATTATAGAGATAGATATCGCAAACAACTTTTAGTTCAACAATTTTCATAAAAATCAGAATTTTGCACATTTTGTCAAATTTCTCGAATACGGACCATTGCAGGAAATTTTGACATAAAACAAAAATTATAGATAATATTAGAAATAACTTTTATTTGAACAATTTTCTTCTCCAAACATAAATAACAGATATATTCCATAAAATATAAAAACGGCCTCCCATAAAGTACCCCCCCAGATGTTCCGACTTTGTCCAAAATCTAATCAGTTCATTAGACGCTGGAATAAAACTTAAGTTTAAAATTTGGTGTTTTTCTGTGTATCGGTTCACGAGTTATGCGACATACAGACACACAAACACACACAGACACACACAGACACACACAGACACACACAGACACACACACAGACACACACACAGACACACACAGACACACACAGACACACACACAGACACACACAGACACACACAGACACACACACAGACACACACAGACACACACAGACACATACAGACCTACACAGACACACACAGACACACACAGACACACACACACACACACACACACACACACACACACACACACACACACACACACACACACACACACACACACACACACACACATACACACACACACACACACACAGATATCATCGCGAAAATAGTCAAAACGGATTCAGGGGACCTCAAAACGTAAAAATCCGTCGAAAACTCGAGGTCGAAAAAAATCATGATTCCTATACTTTCCTTATATCTGTATACAGATAGGAAAGTAATTATATCTGAATACAGATATGAAAGTAAAAAGGAGATTGGATTTCCTTTAAAATGGTGGTTTATAATACTTGTTTTTTTTTTTTTTATAAAAATGAACTAGCTGAGATATTGCTCTCTTCTTAAGACATAAAAGTCCTAAGTATATAGTTTACAGTTATAATTTGATTATTTTGACGTATAACTATTTTTAATATAGATCAATGGCGTGCCGTTTAAAAGGAAAAATATTAATATTTAAAACAAATATACTTATACCTTCGAGCATATATATTTCATAGAGTCCGCATTCAATAGGGTTTGTTTACGTTATGAGGGGAAATGCCTAGACACTATTAATTTGTATCAATAAAATAATAAAATACAAAAAAATATTTATAAACTACAAAAATAAGCTAGAAATTAATGAAAATCAAATGACAGTTCTGACAATTTCGAACGATTTGACATACCAAGCAAAACGAAACAGACTAATGGGAATGTTTGACACTATTTTCCCACTCTACCAAAACAAAGTCCATTTGGACGATGGCTTTAGTAATATGTTCTCGAAGCATAAGACCTTTTTTCTGTACCTCAATGAATCAGACCATCACTGTAAAGAGAATTAGAAAATTTTTGGTACCTACATTTTTTTGAAATATGGCACATTTTTTAGACAAATCTGGTATATAACAAACATATTCTGGCATCACTGTATGTAACGGCTCAAAATTCTGAATAGGTCAGATTTAAACGGCCGTCTTAAAAATTTGTAGGAAATTGAACTAATTGGAATCCCCTCGTATACTGTTTTTTATCTTATTCAAGTTATATCATTGTTAGGCAACTAATTATGTCAAACCGCGTATTGTATGTTGCATAACTACCCTTTTAAATAATTAGTTATATTCGTATAAAAAATGCATTTATGTAATATTTAATTTACGTCTCAATTAATGTAATTTAATTTAACAATTTTCTTTTTTTAATAATATCACTTTTTTCTGTAAAAAATTACCTTATTTTGCGGATCTATTTTTCGATCGATTGATGTGCGTTAGATTACTGCGCAGGGATGAAACAACGCTAACGCTTCGCGTAGGAAAGTCATTTGTGCGTGGTCTACGCTTTGAAAAACTCGTTCTTATCGATCTTAGCGATATAGATCTTGACTTTATTTGTAAATTTTACATGTAGTGAACTGTTTATTTATAGTGTCTTCTTCCTGAGTTTGTAATGGAACTAAAGGTAAATAAATTCATATAAAATTAAACGTTGTGTTCCAATAAAAACGAAAAGCATCTTATCGATTGTAAAACGAAATCCAATGTTATCAAAATCTAAGAAATTGAACTGTTTAGTGAAAAAAAGTGTTTGATAACTTACCAATATAATTAATAAATGTATTCTAGGTAATCAAATAGTGTTTAGCTATTCTACGTGTGATCATTCTCAATTTTCAATGTAACAATCAGTACCTTTGTACCTATATTGATTTACCCATACCTATCTCTATTTTTAACACGCTTTTATTATATTTTGATATTCTATAATATAACGAATTGTTAGGTTTTATCTTAAATTTAATAGAATTCGTTTTACGAAAGAAGAAACCACCTGAAGTTGCAGTCGTATGCGGGAATTTGTCGATACAACCACCGCCATTTTATAAATTTGATGTTTGACTTCAAATCAGTAGCGTAACCATTTCAAATATACAAAATAAATAAATAAATATATATAAATATGGAAATGGTGTAGGGCAATTTTCACCTATTTTAATGCAAGAAATGTTGAAATTAAAACGAAAATGCAGTTTGCAAACTTACAAAGGACCAGGCAGCCGGCTTATGGAGAAATGGGTTCCGGTTAATATGCCTGAATTTTTGGTATGTTGAAGATAATCGACTTCCTGAACAATAGTGAACATGGGCACAACTCAATCCTATGGCCAGTTTTCAACATACAGGGTGATGAAGTTGAAAAATGGCCATTTTTTAAAACGTATTAAAATGTAATTTTCTTAATATATTAGGGATTTTATGCTGTAATAGTATTTTGATAACGTCAAATAATATTGCATTGTATAGAAAAAGTATTATTTGATACAGGATGATTCAAAAATCACCAAAAAAAATTATTGATGCTGTGTATTCTACTTTACAGTGGGAATATGAAAATATTAATATTTGTTTTGAATTAACTTTAGTTGTACTTATTATAGGAAGGTATAAAAACATTTTATACAGGATGAGTCAAAAAGTTGATCAACTCTGCAGGTTACTTTTAATACAATTTTATATATTTTGTAATACAAGTCAGTAGTCGACATTGAACCATTTTCAAAAATATATAATTTATAAATTCAATACAGGGTGATTCAAAAGGCATATAAGGTAGAAAATTACGAAAATTGATTTTTTCTGCGAATCACCCTGTATTTTAATATTTCCTCCGTTAATTTCTCTAATTTTTTCTTATTGTCTTTGATTTGAGTTTGTTAGTCCCCTGTAGAAGTTTTGCGAAGTTACTATGATTAGTTTTTTTATATAGACTTTGTGATGACAAGCCTGTCACAATGTATACACTTATACGTGAGCTCACAAATATGTTTTTATTTTATTTAATCATTCAGGATTTATGTCATTCTAACGTTATTATCTGATACACCATGTTTAATTTTTTGGAAAAAACTTGTTAAGTATTTTCTTGTTATATTTCCATCTTGTTCAAAAAAATTGCAACAATTCGTTGAAATTATTTTTTGAATTCTATGATATGGTTTAAATTCGTTTTCTGTAAAATTATCTATAGCTTCATAGTTTTAAATGAAATTACTGATGAAGCTGAAAGGATGCTACCAGAAAATATTGATCATGGTTCAGAAATTATAGAAAATTAAATATTTTCAGTACCTACCTAACTTTAGTTCATTTCGTTTGTTTCTTCTTTCTTGACTTGGATTAAATTCTACACATGTAGTTATTTTTGTTAGTATATTCGTTCCTTAAGTATTTTTATATATATGTATCTTTCATTACATTACAAGAGACTTGCATTTCCCAGGTTAAAGTGGATTAGGCCTATTGTGGACACCACTTAAAAAAATAAACGCGCCGGGAACTCTACCTCTATGGTGGTGAGGAAACGGGTTCATATGTTTGTTAATAAGTTTATTACTTATAATTTACATACATTACATCTATATAAGTAACTTATTCGAATTGATTTCAGATAATATTATGTATATAAAAAACATAATAATATTTGCGTCTTCGGATATTTGGCTCACTATTAATATTTGCATCTTCGGATATTTGGCTTGCTAATAATATTAATACATTGTTTGTTTATATGTTACATATTATTTATATCTCCTTAAACAAATAACGTTAGAATGATATAAATCCTGAATGATTAAATAAAATAAAAACATATTTATGAGCTCAGGTATA